GAGCTCGGAGACGTCTCATCTTCTTCAAAAATGTTTGCTCTACACGACAGACGTATTTGTAAAGAATTTCTGGATCGAATTCGGGGACTTGGTTTCCTGAGATTTTGGTTTTCCAGAAACCCTGGTTTCAACAGTTTTGATAGAACCATTTTATACAGCAGCCCAGGTCGAAAATTCCTTCAGCTGTTCAAATCCTTTTTCAAATTTGTTCTAGCTATTATGGTCGACCAGAAAAATCAAAAATAGAGGTGGCGAACAATTTTTGGATCCGCTGTAGGTTTAAGCGGCGCAATATTTAATACCCCAAAACCATCGCCAAGCTTCCTTAAGTTTCCTATTAACACATATTGAAGAGCATTCCATGGCGCGTCGAATGATGTATGAATGATTAGAGATCATCTTTAGTTTCATAGAAAAAAGTGAATCCCTTTCTCTTGCTTTTTCAAAATTTCTATGCATTTTCATGTTGATCGCTACAAATGGTCACATCACGCGTGCAGTACCTCAATATTGTTGACCCGATCAACGTGCATGATAGTCTAAGCCACGGCCTACCTGACTGCAGCATCGGCAGCAACAGAACTTCGCTATCCAAAATTCGCCCGTTAAAGGGTTAACGAAATATCAATTTTTCGTAAAACTAATCAAGCTGCTAAATTTAGGATTGCCATAGATCAAATCGAGCGTATCAATTTAGTAGCAGATGGTGCCATGGTTGCAACTCCAGCGGGTAGTAGTGCTTATAATTTATCAGCCGGAGGTCCTATATTGCCTCTTGAGTCAAATGTGTTATGTTTAACTCCTATATGCCCCTTTAGGCCGAGACGTTGGCACGGAGCATTGCTGCCATTTTCTACTACGATAAAATTTGAAATTTTAGAAAGCGGTAAAAGGCCAGTAAATGTTGCGGCAGATTTTCAAGAATTTAGTGATATTAAATCTGTACTAATCAAATCAGTAAAAAATAGAACTATCAAACTACTCTTTGATAAAAGAAATACGCTTGAAAACAGAATTATTAAAGAGCAATTTAATGTCTAGGTTATATAAACAAAATTATGTACCAAATGTTAATATATAAGCATTATATCATAAAGAATATTTTACCATCTTTAGTCACAATTATTTTGTCATTAACTACGCTAGTATGGATTACCCAAATACTAAAGTTCTTATATTTAATTGACAAGGGAATAAAAATTAGTCATTTTTTAAATTTAATTATTCTTATTATTCCTTCTTTATTATTTATTCTTTTACCTTTTGCTACTATTATATCTGTTATCTACACCTATATTCATTTAAATGAACGTCGCCATCTAATTGTTCTTCAAACTTTGGGACTAAATAACTTTCAAATCGCTAGCCCTGCCTTATTAATCTCTCTTATAATGATGTTGCTTGCTTATTATATTTCTGCGAGTTTATTACCGTTATCTTATACAAAGCTCAAAGCAGATCTTAGATCTATGAAACATAATTATACTACCAATATGTTAGAAGAAAAAGTTTTTACTACCATCACTAAAGATATAACAGTCTATTTTAATAGCAAATTAGCAGATGGAACTATGAAAGGTTTAATTATTTTTGATAATCGTAAAGCTGATAACCAAGCAATTTTATTTGCTCAATCTGGTAATCTTAAAACCTCTAATAGTACTTCTGTTTTTCAATTGCATACAGGGAATAGACAGATCCACGATCATAATGGCAATTTAACTAATTTAACATTTACCTCTTTAGTAGTAGAACTAAGTAATGAAAATCAAGACAGTTTGATGCGTAATAATAGCAAGCGAGAGATTAATGAATATTATATTCGCGAGTTACTCAACCCTCCTGCTGACTTACCTCAACACCAGAGAACAAAATTAATTGCTGAAGGGCACCAGCGTCTTATTTGGCCAATGTATAATTTTGTCTTAGTATTTTTAACTTTATCTGTATTTCTACGACAACCATATAATAAAAAATCCCATTTAAAACAAGTATTAATTACGGTATTTTTTACAGTAATTATCACATATTTACACTTTGTGTTTCAAAATTTTACTGCTAAAAACTTAATTTTTATCTTCGCTTGTTATTGCAATGTTCTTGCTGCTATGATATTTAGCATTTATTTATATTTCCGTAGAACTATATGACCGTCCAAGATTTACCTCAATTTCTAAAACTTTTAGAAAAAAATGGACATCTTAAACGTATATCATATCCAGTTTCTACTAATCTAGAGATAACCGAAATCAGCAGAAGAGCGTTACTTAAGAATGGGCCTGCGCTACTATTTGAAAACGTTATTAAAAATGATGGCACTAACTCTACTATACCAGTCTTAACTAATTTATATGCTAGTACTCAACGTATTGCATTAGGGCTGAATTTAGCCAATAAAGAAGATTTAAGAAAATTTGGAGAGTTGTTAGCTTTTCTTAAAACCCCAGAATTACCCTCTTCTTTTAAAGAAATATTTTCTATGCTACCCTTAGCAAAAAGAATATTTGCTATGTCTCCTAAAATAGTCGCCAAAGCTCCTTGCCAAGAAGTTGTGATGCATAATCCTGACATCAATATATTGCCAATTCAGACATGCTGGCCTCTAGATGTTTCTCCATTAATTACCTGGGGTATAGTGATAACAAAAGGACCTACCAAAGAAAAAATCGACAAGTACAATCTGAGGGTATATAGACTACAAGTAGTAGGGCCAAATAAGCTCATTATGCGCTGGCTTAAAATGCGAGGAGGGGCACAGCATCATCAACGCTGGCAAGCGGCAAAAAACGAGGCATTCCCGGCAGCAATCGTTATTGGTGCAAGCCCCTCTATCACTATGGCTGCTGTTATGCCCTTACCTGATAACATTTCGGAGTATAATTTTGCGGGTTTATTAAGAGGTAAGTCTATTGAACTGGTAAATTGTGTTAGCATCAATATGAGCGTTCCGGCTCACAGCGAAATTGTGCTTGAAGGATATGTTAGCTTAGATGAATATCTCCCCGAAGGACCATTTGGAGATCATACCGGTTATTACAATGATATAGAAACTTTCCCAGTCTTTAACATTAAAACTATTACTATGAAGAAACAACCAATATATCTTAGTACATATACTGGTAAGCCTCCAGATGAACCGTCTATATTAGGAGAAGCACTGAATGAAATATTTATTCCTATACTTCAACAACAATTTCCGGAAATTGTAGATTTTTGGTTACCACCTGAAGGCTGTTCCTATAGAGTGGCAGTGGTGTCTATCCGTAAAGCATATCCCGGGCACGCAAAAAGAATTATGATGGGCATTTGGTCATTTTTAAGGCAATTTATGTATACAAAATTCATTATAGTAGTAGATGAGGATATAAAGATTCGTGATTGGCAAGAAGTAATTTGGGCTATATCTACTAGAAGTGATCCTGCCAGAGATAGCATAATTATTGAGAATTCTCCAATAGATTATCTTGACTTCGCTTCGCCTTTATCAGGACTGGGTAGTAAAATCGGGATCGATGCAACTAATAAAATCTCCCCGGAGACTAATAGAAATTGGGGCAAAACAATAGAAATGACCGATGAAATCATTAAGAAAATTGATACAATATGGGAATTTCTTAAAATATAACTTAGTTATTGATAATAATTGTAACTTAAAATTAGTTTCGCATGGTAAATAATAAACCGGTTGATCAAATAATCAATAATATCAAACAAATTAGCGATAAATATCAAGAAATTATACTATATCTTATGCAAGGTAAGGGGAATATAATGCCTCCATCACTTATCGATACGGATAAGAATCGTATAATAATGACAAGTATAAGCGAGCAAATGCTCAAAAATCCTGAAAAAGTTTGGCAGTTAAATGTAGAATATATAGCAAAACTTCAATCACTTATTACTAACTCCCTAGATAAGTTCATAGGGAAAGCCTCTGCTCCCTTATTCTCTCCTAATAATAAAGATAGAAGATTCAAAGATTTAGCTTGGGAAAATAGTGCATATTTTGATTTTATTAAGCAATTTTATTTAATGTCGTCAGAATGGTTAGAAAAAAATATTACTCAATATGATTTGTCTCCTGAGCTCAAAAAACATTTGGAATTTATAACACGCCAATTTATTAATGCCTTTTCACCTACAAATTTTGCTTTTGGTAATCCATTAGTTTTCAACGAAATTTTAAAAACCGGCGGACAAAACCTCGTTCAAGGTTTAGAAAATCTGCTAACTGATATAAGAAATTCTGATGAAATATTAAATATTAACACTACTGATAAAAATGCTTTTCTTCTAGGACAAAATATAGCAGCTAGTAAAGGCAAAATTATATTACAAAATAAATTAATGCAATTAATATGTTATGAACCTAAGCAGCAAGTATACTCAACTCCTTTACTTATAATCTCTCCTTTTATCAATAAATATTATATACTTGATCTCTCAAATCATAATTCCCTGGTAGCATTTCTTACCGCAAATAATTTTCAAGTATTCATGATTTCATGGGTTAATCCTGATCACTTACTCTCTGATGTAAATTTCGAAGATTATTTAAAATTAGGAATTCTAGCATCATGTGAATATTTACTCCAACTCGGTTACCAAAATATTAATGGGATTGGCTACTGTATTGGCGGTACTTTACTTGCAGCGGCAATTGCCTACCTTAAAGCCAATAATTTAAATTATATTAATAGTATTAGTCTTATTACCACTATTTTAGATTTTAAAAACCCCGGCGAATTAGGAATTTTTATCAATGAACCAGCCATCTCTATAATTGAACAAGAAATGTACTCCAAAGGTTATTTGGATGGCCGCTATTTATCAAATAGCTTTAGCTTATTAAGAGCTAATGACTTAGTATGGTCTTTCTTTGTGAATAATTATTTGCTTGGCAAAGCCCCAATGCCCTTTGATTTGCTTTATTGGAATTCTGATCCCACAAACCTACCCGCCACTATGCATAGCTATTACTTGCGTAACATGTATCTGAATAATTTATTAAAAGAACCAAATGGATTAACGCTACTTGGCACCTCTATTGATCTTAGCAAAATTGATTGTAATTCATTTTTTCTTGCTGCTAAGGATGACCATATAGCGCCCTGGCAATCAGTATATGAAGGAGTAAAACTATTAAATGGGCAGAAAACTTTTTGCTTAACCAGTTCTGGGCATGTGGCGGGAGTGATTAATCCTCCACTTAATTCTAAATATTATTATAAAACGCATGATGATTTAACTGTTGCTAGTGAGTCATGGTTTATTAATTCTATAGACCATCAGGGATCCTGGTGGACTTATTGGCTAACGTGGCTCCAAAATAATAGCGGTACTCAATTACCATCAATAGATTATAATAATTTAATAGCAATCGAAGAGGCGCCTGGGAGTTATGTTAAAAAAAGGATAATTTAATAGACTCTCGCCTTAAAGGTATAAAAATATTTATTTTCATACCTTTAAGGCTGTTATAGTAAAAATTAGAAATTCAAACGAACTTTCAAGCTCCCCTGATGTGCAACATATTTATTAGCTAAATGTGCATCGTAACCAAGTCCATACTCTATATTATTAGATTTAGAGCTAATACTTACCCCTAGATTGTAAATTGTTTTTACTATATCATTAATACGGCTAAATGGCTGAGGAGCACCCTGTAGGATAGCGATAAATTTACCAGCTTTTCCTCCCAAATAATGAGAAAGCATAGCGTGGGCTTCAGGTATTACTATCATATTACTCTGTATATTCATTGAGGTTGACACTCTAGTTCCAACAACCCCATCAGTTCTACTAATGCTACAAGCATCAACTGTCTTATTTGCAAAGGTGGTACCCGTTTCTATATAAGCATCATCTCGAGATTTGATATAACTCATGCCAGCTACGGGAGTTAGCAATACTGAATTATTGAATACAGCATTATATCCCATTAATACTTCTCCTCCATAAGCTATGGATTCATAATTAGCCTTAGCAATTTGCTCACCGAAAGAGAAGGGTCTTAGTTCTCTATTCCCAATTTGAGTTGAGCCATAAGATGCAACTCCTTCCACAAAAAGCTGGTCGGTAAGCTTTTGTGCTCCATAAACAGATAACATGATAGTTTTAGTGCTCATTTTATCACCAACTTTAAGGTTTTTATATTTAACCTCTGAATTAATAACAGAAATAGCCGCACCTAATGTCAGATTATTGTTTAGAGCTACGTCCAACCCCCCTATCCCCCCTAACGTTTTTACTGCATATGAGGGCTTACTAACATGTTTTTGCTTCTGATTAGCGTGACTATAAATTGGCATAACCCACGTACCTATATTTGCTTTTGGTGGGCCCTCATCACCAGCCCCTATTCCTACTCCTGATATATAAGAAAGAACGTTCGTATTTAATCTTCCTAGCAATACAGAATGACTTGCGGTCATATGGGCTTGATACATACTTGCTAATGCTTCAGTATTTCCAGAAGTATTTTTTATTCCCTTCTCCCCACGAGTTTTTTCATCCGCACTTTTACCAATATCGGTAGTCAGACTTAATGCATCTCCTCCTGAGGCACTAACCAAATTCTGGACATTTTGTAGGTCTGTGTTATCTCCTCCTGCTGCTTGTACATCTCGCTTCACAACTCGTCGTGCTTTATTGGTACGTGTTAATATTACACTATTGTTTTCCCTTTCAACTCCCCACTCTGCATAAGCTTGCCCTCTCCCTATATTGCTTAGAGCTATATTGTCTATATTCTGATCAATAAATAAATACTGTTCTGGATCACCTGAACTCGGTAAAGTTAAGTCATCATTAACTATTAGAGGCAAGTCTTTATTAGGCTCCACAATATTCAGGGAAGTCTTTACTTCAATAGAGCCCAGACGATCATATTGATTGAGAGTAGTCATAATAGCAATATTAGGGCCCCAATATGATTGATCCAATATTAATTTATTAGCACCTAAATTAATAGTACCATCAATATGGGTTGTACCGCTAAGAGTTATAGGCACATTACCAGCAGATTCTGATAGAATAATATCATTATTGTTAAATTCAATAGTATCAGCATATATGGATCCGCTTAACTTTTGCTCCTTCCTGTCGCCCCTAAAATTAACCGCAACCATAGGATTGTCCTTTTTACCAATATTACCTACAATTCTACTATTTCCTTCAAAAATCACTGGGTTAACAGCTCTACGTAGACTATCGTCATTTTCAATATTACCTACTAAATTTATGTCATCTTTAAGTATCAGCATACCCTGCTCGCCAAGTTTAACAGTGCCTGCTATTGTCCCGCCTGCATTATAGCGTGCCCTAACATTGGTAAGATAAGTATAGGTATTTCCTCTGTTATTCGTATTATTATCGATATTAACTTCTTTTAATTTATTATCTTTGTCCCCTAAACCATATACTATAGATTGATTTCCTGAAGCAACTCGCTGAAAATTCGCCGTTCCTATGTGATCTCCTGAAGTTTTTAGAGCCGCATGAAAATTATGAGTCTGAATGTTTATAGTGTGGTCATCCTGCAATACTATATTAACCAAATGATTCTCCTGACCAATAGTCTGCTCGGGCTCAATAGTATGATCAGCACCTGATAGACGGATAGTAGGATCTTGTCTTTCGTTGCTTTGATTTTGAATATTTTTACCATCAAGTTTCATACCTCTAGGTAAAGTGAAAGTTGAGCCTTTGTTAAAAATAATATTTTTCAAGCGCAATCCCTCACCATATAACTCAACATCCGCTCCAGCTATTCTTATTATCTCTGTGTCAACACCACCTCTATACTTTCCGTCTTCCAAAAAAGTAGTAGTAAACTTCAAAGGTTTTTCATTGTTAAACCCTGATTTCCGCCTCCGCGCCGCACGTATTAACACGACTTGTCGTATAATCCTTCTCTATTATTAATTTAGCACGATCATTTAAAGTAGTTTCCCCTTTCAAATACACTTCACCTTTTACTGCAAATATTTTACCATCATTAATAACCAGAGTACTAAGAGGAACAGTTTTACCAATATCTCCCATAACAATAGCATTATTAGCAATTAAATTCCCCAGGGTAGGATCAGTTGTTCCAGGGGCCACGTTAATATTTCCTTCTAATCTATAATTATCCTCTAATTCTAAAATCGAACCAGCTCCCTCTGGACTAGTGTCCAAGAAATTAATACTACCCTTCCAATTACCGCTTTTGGTTGTTCTACCTTCTAAAACATTTAACTTTACCCCGTTTTTGCTGTGTGTCATATTTGCAGTAAGAGATAATTGAGCATGAGCGTTGATAATTAGAGAATGATCAACCTGTAATTTTCCAAAATCCACTGTTCGTGCTTTAGACTGTGGGCTAGAATAGAGAGTAAGATGTACGGGACCTTGGGAGCTAGCTATAGTCTCTCCGTCAGCTCCTACCCCTATATTACCATTAGCAATTACTGATCCCTCAAGGAACTGTAGCTTGGCTGCAAAGATATCTCCCTCTAGAACTGCTTTACTGTCAATAGAGGCATCAACTGTAAACTCTTTTGCTCTTTTTACTTTACTTTCACCTATTACAGGAGTTCTTGCACTAATATGTTTAAGTGCACTAATAGGGGAGCTAACTTTAAACATAACTTTCCCTTCTTTATCTTCCTGCCCTCCTAAAGACCCATTTTTAAGCGTAAAAGCTTCATTAGGGCTGTTAGCATTAATGTGATAGCCCTCTTCACTATGATACACATTATTCTTTACATTTTCCTCGGTTACATCTATTTCTGCCGCAAGTGCCGATATACTGCCAACTGTTAAAACTGAAGCTATTGAAACATTAGCCAACCAACCTCCTTGCAGAGTATTTTTTTTCCCCTTTTGATTCATTATTTTTTCCTATTTTTAAGTTAATTTAGTAGGTCTGTTTACCACGCTCCCTTTAACTCACCATTTGGGATCCATCTCGTAGATTTTCCTGGCGCTATTTATATCCCCGGTAAACTTCAAGGATTGGCTTCCTCATTGTTCTAGTGCTCAGATGCTTACGTATATAAGATACTCTGGGCTCCTGGAGCTTGAACACTCCTAGCGTTTCTTAAAGTTGATTCTATCGTTTCCTAACTCTTCAGCTACGAGCAGTATCAAATGAAAAACAACTCTTAAAAGCAAATGATTATATTAGGTTTTGGGAGTATTATTTAATTTTAATTATAGAATCCCCCTTAAAATGACCTTAATTAAATGGGACAAAAGAATTAAAAATAAATTAATAAATTTATTAGTATTAATTTTTACATTTAAAAAAATGCAAGTCAATTAAATTGTGAAAAAGTGGTGTAATAAAGTAATGACTGGTGTTAATTAACCCGCGTTAAGAGGGCAAAATTAGAAGGAGGCTATTATAGTCAATTAAAGGTTGAATAAGTTAAGGGTCTATTTTAGAGAGATATTCATTTTTGATTATAGTGGCCGCTATGTGCGAGGGAGAATGAAGGAGATTAAAACCTAATTCTATTAGAATTTTTCTACTTTCTTTTAATTGTTTATCCGCTTGATCCTTATTAGTTAACAATGAGATTAATGCCTTAGCTATTTTCAAGCTAGTACAATTGAACTGTATTAATTCTGGTAATATTTCTCTGTCTGCTACTATGTTAATCAGAGAAATATAGTTGACTTTTATCAAAAATTTTATTAGCCAGTAACTTACTAAGTTTAATTTATAGGCAACAACCATAGGTGTATTACAAGCAGCTATCTCTAAAGTGTTAGTACCAGACTTAGCTAAGGCAATATCCGAAGCTGCAAAAACCTTTAAACGATTGGTTGAAAAGCAGTAGCTGAACTCTGTATCGGTGAAGAAAGGTTTAAGTAAAGCTTGATGTTCTATATCCGCCAAAACAAATATTACTAATAGATTAGGATACTGCCTAGCCACTATATTGATTGCCTTAACAAAAACCGGCATATGCCTTACTATCTCACCCTTACGACTTCCACAAGTAACTGATAAGATTCGGGTATCCAAATTTATCTTTGGCATTAAAGTATTGTGATATAGTTGCAATTCTTCTCTTAACTGTTTCTTAGTTTTTTCTTCATGAAAATTTTGCTCTATAATGGGGTGGCCAATATAACGGCAGTCTAACCCTACTTTCTGAAAATAAGGAGGCTCAAATGGTAATAAAACAAATAAATAATCATAAACCCTAGCATATTTTAATGCTCGCGAAGGCTTATACGCCCAAACTGGCGGAGCAACAATATGAAGAATCTTTAAATTGGGTCTTAGCTTTCGAATTTTCTGCACTACTCTATAAGTAAAGCCAGGAGAATCTATAGTAATTAATAAGTTTGGCTTTTGCCGCTCAATATCCCTAACCACTTGTTTAATTAATTTAGTAATCTTAAAAAGAGGTAAGTCTATTGAACTGGTAAATTGTGTTAGCATCAATATGAGCGTTCCGGCTCACAGCGAAATTGTGCTTGAAGGATATGTTAGCTTAGATGAATATCTCCCCGAAGGACCATTTGGAGATCATACCGGTTATTACAATGATATAGAAACTTTCCCAGTCTTTAACATTAAAACTATTACTATGAAGAAACAACCAATATATCTTAGTACATATACTGGTAAGCCTCCAGATGAACCGTCTATATTAGGAGAAGCACTGAATGAAATATTTATTCCTATACTTCAACAACAATTTCCGGAAATTGTAGATTTTTGGTTACCACCTGAAGGCTGTTCCTATAGAGTGGCAGTGGTGTCTATCCGTAAAGCATATCCCGGGCACGCAAAAAGAATTATGATGGGCATTTGGTCATTTTTAAGGCAATTTATGTATACAAAATTCATTATAGTAGTAGATGAGGATATAAAGATTCGTGATTGGCAAGAAGTAATTTGGGCTATATCTACTAGAAGTGATCCTGCCAGAGATAGCATAATTATTGAGAATTCTCCAATAGATTATCTTGACTTCGCTTCGCCTTTATCAGGACTGGGTAGTAAAATCGGGATCGATGCAACTAATAAAATCTCCCCGGAGACTAATAGAAATTGGGGCAAAACAATAGAAATGACCGATGAAATCATTAAGAAAATTGATACAATATGGGAATTTCTTAAAATATAACTTAGTTATTGATAATAATTGTAACTTAAAATTAGTTTCGCATGGTAAATAATAAACCGGTTGATCAAATAATCAATAATATCAAACAAATTAGCGATAAATATCAAGAAATTATACTATATCTTATGCAAGGTAAGGGGAATATAATGCCTCCATCACTTATCGATACGGATAAGAATCGTATAATAATGACAAGTATAAGCGAGCAAATGCTCAAAAATCCTGAAAAAGTTTGGCAGTTAAATGTAGAATATATAGCAAAACTTCAATCACTTATTACTAACTCCCTAGATAAGTTCATAGGGAAAGCCTCTGCTCCCTTATTCTCTCCTAATAATAAAGATAGAAGATTCAAAGATTTAGCTTGGGAAAATAGTGCATATTTTGATTTTATTAAGCAATTTTATTTAATGTCGTCAGAATGGTTAGAAAAAAATATTACTCAATATGATTTGTCTCCTGAGCTCAAAAAACATTTGGAATTTATAACACGCCAATTTATTAATGCCTTTTCACCTACAAATTTTGCTTTTGGTAATCCATTAGTTTTCAACGAAATTTTAAAAACCGGCGGACAAAACCTCGTTCAAGGTTTAGAAAATCTGCTAACTGATATAAGAAATTCTGATGAAATATTAAATATTAACACTACTGATAAAAATGCTTTTCTTCTAGGACAAAATATAGCAGCTAGTAAAGGCAAAATTATATTACAAAATAAATTAATGCAATTAATATGTTATGAACCTAAGCAGCAAGTATACTCAACTCCTTTACTTATAATCTCTCCTTTTATCAATAAATATTATATACTTGATCTCTCAAATCATAATTCCCTGGTAGCATTTCTTACCGCAAATAATTTTCAAGTATTCATGATTTCATGGGTTAATCCTGATCACTTACTCTCTGATGTAAATTTCGAAGATTATTTAAAATTAGGAATTCTAGCATCATGTGAATATTTACTCCAACTCGGTTACCAAAATATTAATGGGATTGGCTACTGTATTGGCGGTACTTTACTTGCAGCGGCAATTGCCTACCTTAAAGCCAATAATTTAAATTATATTAATAGTATTAGTCTTATTACCACTATTTTAGATTTTAAAAACCCCGGCGAATTAGGAATTTTTATCAATGAACCAGCCATCTCTATAATTGAACAAGAAATGTACTCCAAAGGTTATTTGGATGGCCGCTATTTATCAAATAGCTTTAGCTTATTAAGAGCTAATGACTTAGTATGGTCTTTCTTTGTGAATAATTATTTGCTTGGCAAAGCCCCAATGCCCTTTGATTTGCTTTATTGGAATTCTGATCCCACAAACCTACCCGCCACTATGCATAGCTATTACTTGCGTAACATGTATCTGAATAATTTATTAAAAGAACCAAATGGATTAACGCTACTTGGCACCTCTATTGATCTTAGCAAAATTGATTGTAATTCATTTTTTCTTGCTGCTAAGGATGACCATATAGCGCCCTGGCAATCAGTATATGAAGGAGTAAAACTATTAAATGGGCAGAAAACTTTTTGCTTAACCAGTTCTGGGCATGTGGCGGGAGTGATTAATCCTCCACTTAATTCTAAATATTATTATAAAACGCATGATGATTTAACTGTTGCTAGTGAGTCATGGTTTATTAATTCTATAGACCATCAGGGATCCTGGTGGACTTATTGGCTAACGTGGCTCCAAAATAATAGCGGTACTCAATTACCATCAATAGATTATAATAATTTAATAGCAATCGAAGAGGCGCCTGGGAGTTATGTTAAAAAAAGGATAATTTAATAGACTCTCGCCTTAAAGGTATAAAAATATTTATTTTCATACCTTTAAGGCTGTTATAGTAAAAATTAGAAATTCAAACGAACTTTCAAGCTCCCCTGATGTGCAACATATTTATTAGCTAAATGTGCATCGTAACCAAGTCCATACTCTATATTATTAGATTTAGAGCTAATACTTACCCCTAGATTGTAAATTGTTTTTACTATATCATTAATACGGCTAAATGGCTGAGGAGCACCCTGTAGGATAGCGATAAATTTACCAGCTTTTCCTCCCAAATAATGAGAAAGCATAGCGTGGGCTTCAGGTATTACTATCATATTACTCTGTATATTCATTGAGGTTGACACTCTAGTTCCAACAACCCCATCAGTTCTACTAATGCTACAAGCATCAACTGTCTTATTTGCAAAGGTGGTACCCGTTTCTATATAAGCATCATCTCGAGATTTGATATAACTCATGCCAGCTACGGGAGTTAGCAATACTGAATTATTGAATACAGCATTATATCCCATTAATACTTCTCCTCCATAAGCTATGGATTCATAATTAGCCTTAGCAATTTGCTCACCGAAAGAGAAGGGTCTTAGTTCTCTATTCCCAATTTGAGTTGAGCCATAAGATGCAACTCCTTCCACAAAAAGCTGGTCGGTAAGCTTTTGTGCTCCATAAACAGATAACATGATAGTTTTAGTGCTCATTTTATCACCAACTTTAAGGTTTTTATATTTAACCTCTGAATTAATAACAGAAATAGCCGCACCTAATGTCAGATTATTGTTTAGAGCTACGTCCAACCCCCCTATCCCCCCTAACGTTTTTACTGCATATGAGGGCTTACTAACATGTTTTTGCTTCTGATTAGCGTGACTATAAATTGGCATAACCCACGTACCTATATTTGCTTTTGGTGGGCCCTCATCACCAGCCCCTATTCCTACTCCTGATATATAAGAAAGAACGTTCGTATTTAATCTTCCTAGCAATACAGAATGACTTGCGGTCATATGGGCTTGATACATACTTGCTAATGCTTCAGTATTTCCAGAAGTATTTTTTATTCCCTTCTCCCCACGAGTTTTTTCATCCGCACTTTTACCAATATCGGTAGTCAGACTTAATGCATCTCCTCCTGAGGCACTAACCAAATTCTGGACATTTTGTAGGTCTGTGTTATCTCCTCCTGCTGCTTGTACATCTCGCTTCACAACTCGTCGTGCTTTATTGGTACGTGTTAATATTACACTATTGTTTTCCCTTTCAACTCCCCACTCTGCATAAGCTTGCCCTCTCCCTATATTGCTTAGAGCTATATTGTCTATATTCTGATCAATAAATAAATACTGTTCTGGATCACCTGAACTCGGTAAAGTTAAGTCATCATTAACTATTAGAGGCAAGTCTTTATTAGGCTCCACAATATTCAGGGAAGTCTTTACTTCAATAGAGCCCAGACGATCATATTGATTGAGAGTAGTCATAATAGCAATATTAGGGCCCCAATATGATTGATCCAATATTAATTTATTAGCACCTAAATTAATAGTACCATCAATATGGGTTGTACCGCTAAGAGTTATAGGCACATTACCAGCAGATTCTGATAGAATAATATCATTATTGTTAAATTCAATAGTATCAGCATATATGGATCCGCTTAACTTTTGCTCCTTCCTGTCGCCCCTAAAATTAACCGCAACCATAGGATTGTCCTTTTTACCAATATTACCTACAATTCTACTATTTCCTTCAAAAATCACTGGGTTAACAGCTCTACGTAGACTATCGTCATTTTCAATATTACCTACTAAATTTATGTCATCTTTAAGTATCAGCATACCCTGCTCGCCAAGTTTAACAGTGCCTGCTATTGTCCCGCCTGCATTATAGCGTGCCCTAACATTGGTAAGATAAGTATAGGTATTTCCTCTGTTATTCGTATTATTATCGATATTAACTTCTTTTAATTTATTATCTTTGTCCCCTAAACCATATACTATAGATTGATTTCCTGAAGCAACTCGCTGAAAATTCGCCGTTCCTATGTGATCTCCTGAAGTTTTTAGAGCCGCATGAAAATTATGAGTCTGAATGTTTATAGTGTGGTCATCCTGCAATACTATATTAACCAAATGATTCTCCTGACCAATAGTCTGCTCGGGCTCAATAGTATGATCAGCACCTGATAGACGGATAGTAGGATCTTGTCTTTCGTTGCTTTGATTTTGAATATTTTTACCATCAAGTTTCATACCTCTAGGTAAAGTGAAAGTTGAGCCTTTGTTAAAAATAATATTTTTCAAGCGCAATCCCTCACCATATAACTCAACATCCGCTCCAGCTATTCTTATTATCTCTGTGTCAACACCACCTCTATACTTTCCGTCTTCCAAAAAAGTAGTAGTAAACTTCAAAGGTTTTTCATTGTTAAACCCTGATTTCCGCCTCCGCGCCGCACGTATTAACACGACTTGTCGTATAATCCTTCTCTATTATTAATTTAGCACGATCATTTAAAGTAGTTTCCCCTTTCAAATACACTTCACCTTTTACTGCAAATATTTTACCATCATTAATAACCAGAGTACTAAGAGGAACAGTTTTACCAATATCTCCCATAACAATAGCATTATTAGCAATTAAATTCCCCAGGGTAGGATCAGTTGTTCCAGGGGCCACGTTAATATTTCCTTCTAATCTATAATTATCCTCTAATTCTAAAATCGAACCAGCTCCCTCTGGACTAGTGTCCAAGAAATTAATACTACCCTTCCAATTACCGCTTTTGGTTGTTCTACCTTCTAAAACATTTAACTTTACCCCGTTTTTGCTGTGTGTCATATTTGCAGTAAGAGATAATTGAGCATGAGCGTTGATAATTAGAGAATGATCAACCTGTAATTTTCCAAAATCCACTGTTCGTGCTTTAGACTGTGGGCTAGAATAGAGAGTAAGATGTACGGGACCTTGGGAGCTAGCTATAGTCTCTCCGTCAGCTCCTACCCCTATATTACCATTAGCAATTACTGATCCCTCAAGGAACTGTAGCTTGGCTGCAAAGATATCTCCCTCTAGAACTGCTTTACTGTCAATAGAGGCATCAACTGTAAACTCTTTTGCTCTTTTTACTTTACTTTCACCTATTACAGGAGTTCTTGCACTAATATGTTTAAGTGCACTAATAGGGGAGCTAACTTTAAACATAACTTTCCCTTCTTTATCTTCCTGCCCTCCTAAAGACCCATTTTTAAGCGTAAAAGCTTCATTAGGGCTGTTAGCATTAATGTGATAGCCCTCTTCACTATGATACACATTATTCTTTACATTTTCCTCGGTTACATCTATTTCTGCCGCAAGTGCCGATATACTGCCAACTGTTAAAACTGAAGCTATTGAAACATTAGCCAACCAACCTCCTTGCAGAGTATTTTTTTTCCCCTTTTGATTCATTATTTTTTCCTATTTTTAAGTTAATTTAGTAGGTCTGTTTACCACGCTCCCTTTAACTCACCATTTGGGATCCATCTCGTAGATTTTCCTGGCGCTATTTATATCCCCGGTAAACTTCAAGGATTGGCTTCCTCATTGTTCTAGTGCTCAGATGCTTACGTATATAAGATACTCTGGGCTCCTGGAGCTTGAACACTCCTAGCGTTTCTTAAAGTTGATTCTATCGTTTCCTAACTCTTCAGCTACGAGCAGTATCAAATGAAAAACAACTCTTAAAAGCAAATGATTATATTAGGTTTTGGGAGTATTATTTAATTTTAATTATAGAATCCCCCTTAAAATGACCTTAATTAAATGGGACAAAAGAATTAAAAATAAATTAATAAATTTATTAGTATTAATTTTTACATTTAAAAAAATGCAAGTCAATTAAATTGTGAAAAAGTGGTGTAATAAAGTAATGACTGGTGTTAATTAACCCGCGTTAAGAGGGCAAAATTAGAAGGAGGCTATTATAGTCAATTAAAGGTTGAATAAGTTAAGGGTCTATTTTAGAGAGATATTCATTTTTGATTATAGTGGCCGCTATGTGCGAGGGAGAATGAAGGAGATTAAAACCTAATTCTATTAGAATTTTTCTACTTTCTTTTAATTGTTTATCCGCTTGATCCTTATTAGTTAACAATGAGATTAATGCCTTAGCTATTTTCAAGCTAGTACAATTGAACTGTATTAATTCTGGTAATATTTCTCTGTCTGCTACTATGTTAATCAGAGAAATATAGTTGACTTTTATCAAAAATTTTATTAGCCAGTAACTTACTAAGTTTAATTTATAGGCAACAACCATAGGTGTATTACAAGCAGCTATCTCTAAAGTGTTAGTACCAGACTTAGCTAAGGCAATATCCGAAGCTGCAAAAACCTTTAAACGATTGGTTGAAAAGCAGTAGCTGAACTCTGTATCGGTGAAGAAAGGTTTAAGTAAAGCTTGATGTTCTATATCCGCCAAAACAAATATTACTAATAGATTAGGATACTGCCTAGCCACTATATTGATTGCCTTAACAAAAACCGGCATATGCCTTACTATCTCACCCTTACGACTTCCACAAGTAACTGATAAGATTCGGGTATCCAAATTTATCTTTGGCATTAAAGTATTGTGATATAGTTGCAATTCTTCTCTTAACTGTTTCTTAGTTTTTTCTTCATGAAAATTTTGCTCTATAATGGGGTGGCCAATATAACGGCAGTCTAACCCTACTTTCTGAAAATAAGGAGGCTCAAATGGTAATAAAACAAATAAATAATCATAAACCCTAGCATATTTTAATGCTCGCGAAGGCTTATACGCCCAAACTGGCGGAGCAACAATATGAAGAATCTTTAAATTGGGTCTTAGCTTTCGAATTTTCTGCACTACTCTATAAGTAAAGCCAGGAGAATCTATAGTAATTAATAAGTTTGGCTTTTGCCGCTCAATATCCCTAACCACTTGTTTAATTAATTTAGTAATCTTAAAAAGATGAGGTAATATTTCCATAAACCCCATAAAACTTATTTGTTTAATAGAAAAAAGACTTTCCTTCATCCCAGCTTTTTCCATTAATCCCCCTCCTACCCCTACGAATTCAATATTTTCTTCTTCTATTGTATAAAGATTATTAAGGCTTGCTATTAAATGGCTTCCTATAAAATCACCTGAACTTTCACCAGCAATTAAATAAACCTTAACCATCCTTCAGCTTCTCACATATACTTAAATTTTTATCAATCACTTTAGCCTGTATTCCAGCACAATCAAGTATGGAATGAAACACATAATCATGACTTAATTCAGAACCTGAATGAGTTTCTATAGCTTTCACTAGTTCAAGATGACGTATTTTAAATGGATCCGATACCCAAACTATAAAAGGTATAGTGGTTTGTTCGGGTATTAACGGTCCTCCGTGTCCATAATAACCATTTTCCCCTAATGACTCCGCATGATCAGAAACATATATTAAAAAACCATTATTGTTCTTTAGTAATTCTACTAGGCTAAATAAAAAAAAATCTGTATACAGAATAGAATTATCATAATCATTGATCAACCCTTCAATAGTACAAGTACTAGGATCTGATTTAGCAACTTTATTACATCCTGGAGTAAATTTTTGAAATTCTTTAGGGTATCTAGCAGAATAATTCCAATGGCTTCCTGAGGTATGAACCACTATAAGCTTTTTCCCTTTACTATCCCCTAAAAATTGTTCGATATAAGGTAGCATTTTTCCATCGTAATCATTCATTTTTAACAATGCAGATCCTCCCGGAATCATAGCAAATTTCACTTCATCATAAATTGTGGAGTGCTTTTTACCTTTTAAATATTGTAGTAGAGTTTGTGTTCCAATCCAGTGAGTATTAAACCCTAAGTACGTGAAAACTGATAACAAGCTAGTCTCATCTAGACTTTTATCTAAATTCCTACTTGTGTACCTAGACATAAGAGAAGGGACGGCAAGGTAGGTATGGTTAGATGAGGACTGAGCTTTAAATGAAAAAAGATTGTTAATAGAGTTTAAATAGGGAGTAGTCCTCCTATAATAACCATTTATACCGAAATGATCAAATCTTGCTGATTCTCCTATTACCAGTACTACAATAAGGTCATCATCTGCTTTATCAATAAAAGAGAATTTTTGATTTATATTTTCCTGACTTACGGCTATTTTGCTATTTATAGCCATATATAAGTAACTATTATGTAAATATTGGATAGGAAAATACTGACTTAATAATTTAAATTGTGGGGTAATAATATTGTTAATAGTAAAGAATAAGCAAACTGCTGATAATAGTTTGTGACTTAATAATTTACTATTAGCAAATGAAAAATATTTCATAGAATATATGCAAGTAAATAAGCTCAAGCCTAACCACAGCAGTAATTTGATACTGATAATTTCATATAATTCATTAAAGTGAGTAGAAAAAAAGCTCCCCATCATTTCCTTAGTAGGGGAAATTTTAAAATAATATAAATAATAACTAGCAATCGCCCCGGTTATAAATAATAATATTGTTCCTATTATAAAAACCAGACGCTGAATCGTTAGTCCTAAGAAAATAATAAAAGTAAAAACATAAATATAAACAGCATCTTTAGCTAATTCTAGTATAGCCGTAAAAAAGGTTACCTTATAGTAACTAAATTTATAAGAAAAAATTACCGAATTAAATAGGCATAAGTAAATAAATGCAAAAGTTAAAGAGAGAGTAATTAATCCCGGATCTAAGTGTTTACGCAGCAGTTTTATCATATGGTTATGTTAAAGAATAATTATTATAAGCAAACTTGAATTTGTAATGTGCGATTTTGAGATATACTCATTTGGTCTCAAGAATTGTTTTTTATTAGACCTCTTTCTGGGCTCACATCGCGCAGGGAATTTGAAGCGAACTCTTCGCTTCAATCCTTAACGTACGGGGCACCGCTGAGGATTAGAGCCTAGATTCGACGTAAATCATCAACTCGATACAAACTGCGAAAGGGGTCTATTTTATTATGACTGACGTGCTGGCATTACACTACGCCCGCCCGCCATTAGATTTCCTGCATAAGTCTATTCAAAAAAATAAGAACTCTTGAAGTATAAGCAGTATAAAGTTCAAGGCAAGATCCTTAAAAAGGAATCCGACTTTTTATTTACATAACCTATAGATTAATTATATAATACAGATATTAATTGAGCTAGTATGATTATCAAAACTCTCCTAGAATTTAAAGCACTATTACAAGTTAACAAACCAATTATAGCAATTGACTATGGAATGCGGAAAACAGGTCTTGCTCTCTCCGATCCTAGCAAAATTATCGCTATGCCTTTTAATACTATATACCAAATTGATAAAAAAGAAAAAATTAAAGCTATATTAAATTTAACTACTAGCTGTTCAGCTTGTGGAATAGTTATAGGCTTACCAATTAATATGGATGGAACCGTTAGCGACCAAACGACAATTCTATTAAAATTTACTGATACCTTAAGCCTTGCTACCGATCTTCCAATTTATCTACAAGATGAAAGGCTTTCATCCAAAGCTGCCAATAGCTTATTGAAATCTCTAGGCTTTACAAGACGAGAACGTAATAATAAAGATGATGCCATAGCTGCAAGCATGCTTTTAGAAACTACTTTAAATTCCATGCAAAAACTTCTTTAGAAGAAGACTACTTACGCGAATTTCGGAATAAAGTAAGAATCAGTAATTGATATATAATAGCGATTGCAAGCGTTTAAGCCTGTACTAAATAGTTTGTTTGCAAAAATATCGTATACCAACTTTCGGGTACAAGCAGTATACTCTTATAGTAAAATTGAAGCCTCTAATGTCAATAGTCCTCTTTTAAAATTCGTATCGAGCAGGTAATTCGTACCTTAAATCTAGATTCAAATCCTCGTGTACACCCCAGTACGCTGCGGTTTGAAGCAAAGAGTCTCTTGAAATTTCCTGCTCGATACTAGTTGCAAAAGAGATCTAATTTTACCTTTTAAGTCTTATCAAAACTTAAAAATTATTTAACCAATTCTGCACCTTTTTGGGCTGTACGCTGAAGTAATTATTTCACAATAGTTACGGCTCTACGATTTTGGGACCATGAAGCTTCAGTGTCACCAATTACAGCTGGCTTTTCTTTACCATAAGAAATAGTATCTAATCTACTTTTGTCAACTCCTTGACTTTGTAAGTATTGTGATACTGCTTCTGCTCTTCTTTCACCTAACGCTAAGTTATACTCTCTGGTACCTCTAGCATCACAATGGCCTTCAATAGTAGCTTTTATGTTGCTATGTCTTTTTAGCCAACATGCTTGTTTATGTAATTGTCCTTTTGCAGTAGGGGAAAGGTCTGACCTATTATAATCAAAATGCACTCTATCACCAACAGTTTTCTCGAAATCAGATAATTTAGTATATTCGGTGGGATGGCCTACAGCAGCAATAGTAGTGCTCTGTTTTTTGGTATAACAGCCAGAAAGTAAGAATAGCGCTAGAAAAGCTATTGCGGATTTTTTTAGTAGCATAACAAACTCCTTATAAGGTTAATTAATTGATTTATACTCTTTTGCTTTAGAGAATTGTTTTTTTGAAAAATACTAAGATGTGCGTGCTATTACACCTTAGATATTGCTTAAGCTTATTCTTTTATTAGACTTCTTTGCTTAACATTACTTCTATTCATTTGGTCGATTAGTCTAGGCTCAAAAAATAGCATATTCAAATACACTATTTTAAAGCGAAAAGCCTGGCTTAGGCCCTTGAGCAGAAGCACATTGCGAAGGAGTCTAGTATTTTAGAAGAAACCTATTTTCAAGTCCAATTCTTTAAAACACATACTAGTATTACTAATTCGTTTAATACAAATTGCTAAACACTTCACCCATGCATTATACATCATCATATTAATACTTAAAAGCTTAAAATAATACTACCAATAAACTCCTAAACATTATATGTGGTAAAAATATCGTATTACATTGGTTTTGAAGTGATTTTTTACTGCAAACTAAGATTCATTAAGTCTGTTAGTAAATCTTTTATTTTGTTGGGTAAAAGGTTTATTTTGCTTGTATCCACACCTCCCGCTTGTGCTATATTGGCCTGCCCACCTCCGCCAGAACCACCAAGAAATATAGAAATTGATTTAGCCAAATTACCTGCGTGTACTTTATTAATAATCTCTTTACTAACAGCCACGGTTACAGATAATTTACTAGCTTTATTGATATATACAATTACTAAATCATTACATTTATTAGATATTTGCTCTGCTGACAAGCGTAATATTTTATTATCAATATTTTTTACTAATTTATAAATCAATTTTATTCCTGATATTTCGAGAGAATCTAGAATAATTTGTTTCTCATCCAGGTCAAGCATAGAAATCTGCAAAGCCATTATCTGCTCTGTTAGTTCTTTTTTACTACTTACTAGCTCTTTTACTTTATCTGTTAATACATCTCTATTTGTTTTTAAGATCGAAGATAAATTATCCAGAATAGAATCATTATGCTTCATTAATTTTAATACAAATTCTCCGCAAACAGCTTCTATTCTTCGAATGCCTGCTGCAATTGCATATTCACTGATAATTTTAAATACCCCAATATCGCCTGTTCTAGTAACATGTGTGCCCCCACATAGCTCTAAAGAATAAGCTTTGCCATTAATTACATTACTGCCCATTGATACTACTCTTACTTCAGAATCATACTTCTCTCCGAATAATGCTACAGCTCCTGATTGAATAGCGTCCTGAGTAGACATTAAAGTAGTAGTAACTTTAGAATTTTCCCTAATAATTTGATTCACCTTCTCTTCAATTAGGATAATTTGTTCTTCGGTTAAGCTACTCATATGGCTAATATCAAAACGTAGACGATCATGTGCTACCAGTGAACCTTTCTGAGTTACATGCTTGCCTAGTGTTTGATGTAAGACTGCATGTAATATATGAGTTGCAGAATGATGAATCTTTAAATTTTGACGGTATTGAACATCAATAGTAAAATCAGCATTGTCTCCTATTTTAATCCCCTCTCCTCTTTCCAAAATACAGACATGGGCTATTATACCACCGATGTATTTTAAAGTATCAATTACCTTAATCGTACAGTTCGCAGTTCTTATAAACCCAATATCTCCCATTTGCCCGCCTGCTTCCCCATAAAAAGGGGTTTGGTTGCTAATTAAGAGGAATTTATCTTTTAGTCTTTCTACACTATTCACTAAAGTGTTACTCTTAATTAAAGCTAATACTTTACCTTCTAGCTGATTTAGAGTATAGCCTAAAAATTCAGTGCTACCAAAGGTAGCGTGAAGCTCAAACCAAATTTTATCTGTTTTTGCTTCATTGGAGCCTTTCCAGGATTTTCGCGCTCTTTCTTTTTGTTCTTGCATCTTATTATTAAAGCTCTCAAGCTCAATTGAGACCTGCTTATTTTTTAATATTTCTTCAGTTAAATCAATAGGGAACCCATATGTATCATATAATTTGAAAGCTACTTCACCAGATAGAAAAGAGTTAGGCTGTGCGTGGATAAGTTCTTCATCGAGTAATTTTAAGCCGCGTTCTAACGTCAATTTAAAGCGTAATTCTTCTTGCTCTAAAATATTACTAATAAAATCTTCTGCTCTTTTTAATTCAGGGTAAGCATTGCCCATAAGCTCTACTAATTTTGGCAGTAATCTATGCATTAAAGGTTCAGTACTGCCAAGTATGTGAGCATGTCTTATACTTCGACGCATGATGCGTCTGAGTACATATCCTCTGCCTTCATTTGACGGTATAATACCGTCGCTAATTAAAAAAGCGCATGCACGTAAATGATCAGCAATAACCCGATACGAGAACTGTGCGTTCCCTTCAGCCTTTACTTTTACTATGTGTTCGGTATAGTCAATTATTTCTTTAAATAAATCTATCTCGTAATTATCGTGAACATTTTGCATAACCGCACTAATACGTTCAAGCCCCATTCCAGTATCAATAGACTTGTTAGGTAATTCTATTCGAGTATTAGCATCTAATTGCTCGAATTGCATAAATACCATATTCCAGATTTCGATAAAGCGATCCCCATCCTGTTCTCTTGTTCCGGGTAATCCTCCTTTTATGTGATCACCATGATCATAAAAAACTTCTGAACAGGGGCCACAAGGACCTATATCTCCCATGGACCAAAAATTATCATTGGTTTTAATTCTAATAATCCGATTATCACTTAAGTTAGCAATTTTTTTCCAATAAGAAGCTGCCTCCTCATCAGTATGATAAACAGTAACATATAATTTCTCTTTCGCTATAGCAAATTCCTGGGTCAAAAGAGTCCAGGTATGATATATTGCTTCTTCTTTAAAATAATCGCCAAAAGAAAAATTGCCCAACATTTCAAAAAATGTATGATGCCTTGCTGTATAACCAACATTTTCTAGATCATTATGTTTACCTCCTGCCCTAAGTGATTTTTGACTAGTGGTAGCTTTAGTATAATTTCTGGCTTCTTGACCGGTAAAGACATTCTTAAATTGTACCATCCCGGAATTAACAAACATTAAGCTAGGATCATTATGAGGTATTAAAGAGCTAGATGGAATATGAATATGGTTATTTGCCATAAAATAACTTATAAATTTACTTCTAATCTCTTCAGTGGTAAGTTTAATCATTTAACAATTGCCTTTAAGAAAATATTTTATTTTATAGTCTTTTATACTCAAAAGATTTTGTAACGTATAGTAAGTTCTCTAACAATTTCTAAATAATATATAATTTGCAGCTAGTATTTATGCTTAAAATATTCAATTTTTTACAAATTAAAATTCTTTTAAAAAATATGCTGAAGTTTTTACTGAGTTATTTTTTGTGTAGAAAAAATATTATTATATTAATAGGCGATAAGGGAGTGTTTCTTTTTGCCTTTATACATAATAAAATCGTTGATAGTTTATTTATACCTGTAGAAAATCAAGAAAATTTAGAGTTGTATAAAGAATTTTTTCAGAAATTTAAAAAGTTTTATGTTTGCTTTTTATTTAATAATTCTGATTGTAAACTTCGCCATGATTTAGTGCCAGTACTCCCTTCAATAGTTAAGGCTAACCCTGTTGAAAAATTTATAGAAGAGTATCTTTCAAAAGATAATATAGTGGGCTATAATGTTTATAGTATCACTACTAAACCTAGTAAAATATGGAATACTTTAATCGTCTCTTCTCATTATACTCCATTTTTAAGTAAATTACTTGACCAAGTGTTATTAAACACTAATCTTAAATTTGGGGGAATTTATTTTGTAGTTTTAGAACTCAATACAATGATTGATAAGATCATTAAGCAGGTTGATAGGGCAGAATATGCGGAACATTTACAAGTTTTTGTATGTATTTGGCAAAGTAGTGGAATACAATTAATTGTAAAACATAAGGCTAATATTATTTCTATACAAACTTTTGATTACCCAGCTAACACATCTGATCCTTACATCCAAGGAATAATTGAACAAGAGATTGAAGATTGTTTAATAGAATCTAGAAATTACATTGTTAGCTTAGGGCTTAAAGTTTGCATTATTATTATAGTGAATGAGCCATTAAAGTCACTACTTGCTCATTCTAAATTCGGACAACACCAAGTAATAAGTATAGCTAGTAACACATTATTGGGCAAACAACGTATTGATAGCGATAAATTCTCTGATGCTATTTTTGTGAAGCTATTTAATAAACAAAGAAATTACCCCGCATATAATAAAGATTTAAAGACAATATCTAAGCTTAATATTTTTAGCTCTTTTATTTTTAAGCCATTAATGATTATAATAATGGGATTGGTCGCTACAGTAATAGTGGTTAAAGTTAAGACTTTAGAAAATTACAAAAAATTAACTGCCTTAAATTTACATTATTCAAGTGTAGAGCAAGAATATTATAATATAAAACAAAAATATCCATATATTCAAAATGCTACTAATTTAGCTGATCTCTATATTTTTGAGACGTTGTTGCAGATACCTATCGCTATACCCTTTGATTTATTAGAGAATTTTGTAAGGAATCTACTCCCTAATTTAGTTTTAGAAGGAATGAAATGGAGTAGGTTAGATCTAAATAATACATTATTATCACCTAATCAATATACCGAAACGATAATATTTTTAAAGTTTATTACTGTTAACAGCTCTATACCAGATTCTATAATGAGTTTAAAACAACAAATAGCAGATTATACCAAATTATTTGGGAACATGGAAATTAGCCTTACAATATTTACTGATCAAATAGTTAATTTATCTAATAGAATAGTAATACCCCTCTCTTTGATTATTACTAAATAACTAGGGGTGAACTATGCTTAAAAATTTTATTATTAATTTAAAGAATGTTATATTTTTTAAGCTTGTTACGTACTTTTTAGTAATTGCTATGCTTTTATTCTTACTGCAAATTTTTAGCAAAGACTATATAAGCTCAGTTAAAAAGAGATATAGTATTGAAGAGTCATTAGCTCAGGAAACGTTAAGGCTTCACTCTATAAAAAATTCTGAAGATACCATACTAAATACCTATTTAAAATATCAAGGCCTATTATCTATCTCATATAAACAAAGTTGTTTAAATAGAACAAAGTTAATAAAAAAGATTGCTAGTTTTTCTACAAAATATAACTTAAATGAACCTATTACTACCTCTATTAAACAGGAATTTTTAAGTAACCTAAAGTCAAGTATAGGGGCAGAAAAAGAGACAATAAAAATAAGAAATTATGACGCAAAAATAAAATTTGCTACTCAAGATTTTATAACTTTCGGGGCTATTATGAAAGAGATTTATGCCTGTATGCCAGAAAATACTATTATAATATCAGTAGAGGTTAAAAAAGAAGATGTGTTGGAGCCCAATGTTATTTATAAATTATCTCCTAAAAGAGCCCCTGATATGATATTTGCTAAACTTACAATGCGTATAAGAGAAATAGCGGCAAATACACGTATAAAACAATAGAAAGTTTTATACTTTTAATAAGCCTATTATTAAAATAAACTTGTGATTAATCAAAGATTAGTCTAGTCTCTCTTAAGATAAAAAATTAATTTTAAGTACAATGACAAGAACATTAAAAGTGATCCTATTCTTTGCCTTACTTTTACAATTACTATCGTGCACCCCAGGAGCTCCTTATGAAATAAAAAGTCCTTGTGTATCAATGAAGCCGATAGAAGGATCTCCTACTTTTAACGACCCATGTGTTCGTAGGCCAGTAAATTTAAATATTGACATAGCGTAACGTGAGATGGATAGTTAGGATTTGACAAGGGATCAGAATATCAAGTTATTGTGACCCCCTGTAATTAATAAATTAGTTTATTGCTGTTAGCGCTTTTCCATATAATGGTATATCAGTATCTAGCACTGCTATTAAGTTGTCATGTAGTAACTGATCTTCAGGATTTTTCCTTAAATACTCAGTTACCACCTCCTGAAGTGGTTTCTCCTCTTTTAGCTCTTTTTTGCATCTTGCTAGCATATCTTTAGTAATTAAACAAGGTGTATCTTTTACTATCCTTGCTGGCAGAATACCGCTACGCTGTACTTTTTTTAGCCTCCTCCGGCTCAAGATAAAAGTTTTCAGCTTCCTTAAAACGATCCCCTGTCAACCACTGATTACCCGCATCTATGTAAGTACCGCTAGTAACTACGTGATTAAATTCATGCTGAACAATTATTCCACCCATACCTTTATATTTTTTAACTTTAGGCTCTAGATCGAGGAGTGAGTAAAAAGCAATAAGAACTTCTGTATGAGTCTCTACCCAGGCTCTTTTTTCGTCTATTGCACTTAAACACCCATGAACAAACCCTGTTTTTTCTAGAGTAAAGCCCACTATTATAGGGTTGTAATTGCTTCAGGGGGTACATTTAAGTCTTTATTTTCAGATTCATATTGGATAACAAAGATAGCATAAGGATTTACAGCTTCTTCTTTTCTTTTGAGTTGATTATGAGCAAGCCCTATACCACAACCTTCTATCGCTTTAAACATCTTCTCAGCTATCTCCTTAGCTACTAACTTATTTGTCTCATTAATAGGAAATTTTATTGCTGACTGATTAAAGTAATAAGTTTTTGCTTCTAATTCATTAGTCGCTCTTTGTTCAAAACAAGAATCAAGATTTGCAGTATCTTGAACAACCTTTGTCTTTGATTCTATACTCATAGCTTAGCCTATTTTTTTACAGAAGATTCATCCTAGCGATATATTCAAGATACATGTATGGACCTCCTGTAAAATGCAAGAAAGAAATAACGTCAATAGCAAAAAAGCAAATGCATACATGTATCCGACTCATACAAAGTAAATATTATTAATATTTTTTTAATAATATAGATAAAAATTACTCTCTTACCGTTTTTATCTACACCATGTATTTGAAAAATTCTTTTTGCAATATCTATACCAATTGTGCTAACTTCCATCTTAGCCTCCTTAATTGTATCTTTTCAGGGTAGTGTCCTAAGCGACTAGTCCTAATAGTTTTTGAGATGGATTTTGGGTTTGCTGTTTCCAGGTCATGTAAAGTGATATTAGTCTTTCCAAAAATCTCTCGCCACGTTCAGATTTAGTAAAATAGGAATTTTTTCGGTAAACAACATAATGCCTAATTTGTCTTTCGGCATGGTTATTGGTTAGTGGAATTTCTTTTGGGTTTTCAAGAAACTTCCACATCATATTTTCGGACTTCATCATATTTTTTGCTACTCGCGTTGCATGACTAGCATCAGTTTTATAGGATATTTCTTTTTTTAATTCCTCAACCTGATCTTGTAGTTTCCTAATTATTTTAAACAGCTCTTCCATGGAAAATTATTAAGAAGTTAGGTAAATAATAAACTATATTTAGCAATTTATTATTTTTTGTCACTATTTTCTTTAAACAATTTGAAAATATTGCAAAACTTTATATTTTATCTCCTACAGTCCACTCCCCTGAAAAGATACCCTTAATTGTTGTTTTAAAATTTATTTTAACTCTAGAAGATTAGAATATGCTTCTCATTCTCTATATCAGGAGGTCCATTCCATTACCTTACGCAGTATACAGGGCTAGAAAAAAGTAAAACAAATAGTCCCCTTTAGAAAAATTGTAGTAGATAAAAAAAATCATTTATCAGTAGTATTATCGTATGCTTGTTCAGCTATCAGTAATAAATAGGAGTAGTAATAAACTTGTTTAAGATATATCACCAACATGACAGAATCATGCGCAATCATTCTCTTCTAGAACGAAGCTGGGAGCTCTCTACTTCAACAGCTCATATAGAACACGATAATATTACCCCCTACATTAATACTTTCTTGGTAAAGAATAATGATATTATTACCCTAGCTATTAATGCTAATAAGAACAATACAAATGAAATACGATTTATCACATAGTACCCTTGTATCTTAAATATTGTCTTTAGTGAATAACTATAAGATACTTAAGGATACTTAAGGACACTTAAGTAAGAAAGCTAGTATACAGATAGTACCCTTAGGACAGGATGATCCTGCATTGTAGATAAGTAACTAGCTTTCTAAATACTCATTAAAGATCGGACGGTATTCTTAGGCCATGCAACTGTGTGTTCAATAGAGCCTGTATTCACAAGGTTGATCTTTGAGTATTCTATTAACTATTAACATAAAAGGTAACTAATGAATAGTGCAATTTTAGGTATAGATATCTCTAAAGCAACATTTGATGTAGCATTACTTTATAATAATAAAACAAAAACTAAAAAATTTAACAATAATTTACAAGGATTTGGTACATTAAAACAATGGTTATCAACCAATAAAATTGATACTGTGCATGCTTGTATGGAAGCCACAGGTTGTTATGGAGAAAAATTAGCGCAATATCTTTATGATAATAATTTTAAGGTGAGTGTAGTTAATCCAGCACGAATCAAAGGTTTTGCAACCAGTACATTATCTAGAGTTAAAACTGACAAAGCAGATTGTCAGTTAATTGCCCAATTTTGTAAAGCTATGCAACCTGATCTTTGGCAACCAACAGCGGTTTATATAAGAGAATTACAACAATGGGTACATCGTTTAGATGCCCTAATTACTCATAAAAATCAAGAAACTAATAGGTTAGAAAATGTGAGTGATATTGTTAAAGCAAATATCCAAACTCATATTGATTTTTTAGATAAACAGATCAAAGAAGTAGAGCAGGAAATTAGTAAGCATATTAAACAACATAAAGACTTAAGTGATAAAAGTAAGCTTCTTGAATCAATTCCTGGAGTAGGAGACAAAACAATAGCTATAGTACTAGCTTTTTTAGGTAACATAAAAGCTTTTGATTCTGCAAAACAAATTGTTGCTTTTGTTGGTCTTAACCCCAAACCAAGACAATCTGGTTCTTCTGTACGTGGAGTTAGTAGAATATCTAAGACAGGAGATGCAGATTTACGAAAAGCTTTTTATATGCCAGCTGTAGTTTCTATTAGATTTAATCCAATTATAAAAGATTTCAGCCAACGTTTAAGTAGTGCAGGAAAATCTAAAATGGTTACAGTTGTCGCTGCTATGCGTAAGTTGTTACATATTATTTATGGTGTACTAAAAAATAAAACGTTTTTTAATGAAAATATTGTTAACAATACAGATAATTTTATAAAAATTTAACAATAAATTTTTATAAAATTCTTAAAAAATTGTTGACACTGAAGACGGTATCTACAATTTTTGTAACAAAAGAGCAAGAAGTCTATTGTATATGGGTTGTTGAAGTAGTATAAGAGTGTATTTTTTGAGCATGCACAATATACTACTTCAGTCGCTGATACTAAACTTTTTTGGGAAAAGATCGAGACTAGAATGTCTTACTGGAATGATTATGAGTCTAATTGAGAATTGCTCTGTTAGCGGTAAGAACATAGCACTTGGGATTTTGGGTGAAGCTAAACATAGTTCTAGAACCCAGAGAATATATAGGTTTTTTAGAGATCAAATATTTAATTATGATCAAGTTGCTAAGTTTATTTTGAATATTTTTGCTAATGATAAATACATTGTTGCTCTGGATAGAACATGCTGGAAATTTGGCAAAAGTGACATTAATATATTATTTTTGGTTATAGTTTTTGGTAAAATTTCTGTACCAATTTGTTGGTATCAACTAGAGCATGGAGGGGCATGCTCTAGTTGGTTGATGGAGGAAGTTTTAGACAGATTTATTAATAATTTTGGAGTGCATAAAATTAAATATTTGCTGGCTGATCGAGAATTTATGAGCAAAGAATGGCTTAATTTTTTGACTAAAAAAGAAATTAAATTTGCGATTCCAGTTAGAAAAGATATGCTAATTCGCATTACAAATGCTTTACAAACTAAACCAGCGGGTAAAAGTTTTGATTATGTAAAGCCTCTTGAATATATTGAAGTTAAAGGAATATTATGGGATCATGCAGTGACATTATCGGCCTATAGGAATAATAAAAATGAACTGATGGTTATTGCAGCTAGCGGTGATATTGATGTCAGCATTTTTGCTTTATATAAATTTCGCTGGTCAATTGAGCGGTTGTTTAAACATCTCAAAAGCAGTGGCTTTGATATTGAAAAAAGTCACATAACAAACCCGTAGGGTTTATTATACCCAAATAATTTCACTTGCCAATTTTTTTACATAAGCATCCGTAATGGAAGTCAATAAAGAAAATAGGAAATTAACATAAATTTTGATTCCAAGAAGAATTATTTTTAACAATAGAATGCATAAAAGCGAGTAATTTACGCATAACAGCCACTAAAGCAACTTTTGGCGGCTTATGGTTAGCAATCAAGCGATCATAAAAATTGCGTAAACGCTTATTGCACCTTAAAGAAGCAACAGCAGCCATATAAAGTACTCTTCGGAAATTACCTCTACCTGCAAAGATACTTCTTCTACCTTTATAATTACCGCTTTCTCTAGCAAAAGGGGCAAGTTCTACTAAAGAAGTTAACTGTCTAAAAGGAATATTACCAAGCTCTAGTGCTTCACATATAACTGTAGTGGCAAGAGTAATACCTACTGCTGGAATAGAAGTAAGCTTATCAATTTTATCTTTTATTTCTTGATCGTAAGAGATTAATCTTTTTATGCTATCCTCAATTTCTTGTAATTGTTCTGTTAAACTAGTAATATGCTGGTTCAAAGATAAAATGATTACAGAATTAGACTCGGTATCTTGCCTAGCAATTTCTTGATTCTTAAATACTAATAATTGTTCTCTTCTTCTTAATAAAGCATGTAATTGTTGTTGACTTTCACTATCATAAGTAATTTTTACTGTTAAGGTAAAACATGTTGCATAATCACGTAATAATCTACTATCGATATTATCAGTTTTAGCAAGCCATCCTCTGGCTTTAGCAAACTGCCGAACTTTATTAGGGTGAACTGTAGTAAAAGGTAGCTTATTGATTTTTAGAAATTCTCTTAAATTATGTTCGTATCCCCCAGTAGGTTCAAAGACCACAATTATTTCAGATAAGTTCTGATAATGCTTATTAATAGTGGCCAGCATACTTGTAAACCCTTGTTGATCATTGCTCACCTCAAAAGCTTTGTTGATAGCTGGTATATAGATACTTAGAGTTTTTTTACTAACATCAACCCCAATATAAGTTATTGCCATATAAAGTCTTATAATTTATATTAATAATAGGATATGCTACATACTCATACGCAAGGTTTAAACCTTCTGACATCCGTTCGTAGTCTTTATCCAAACAGGATGGGCCTTTGCTAACGTACGAAGTCTTTTAATTCTAAAGCTTCAATTCGGGATACAGATTATCCATCCTACCACTAATATAACTGATCATGTTATATTTATCATGGCTTCTTTATTGTATCATTTCGGGGTTTTATTGCCAAAATTTTTAGTTAGTACACCTCTGAGCAACTAATAATGAGCCTTAAGTTTTAATTGCCAAGCGCAGAAAGAAATTAACCTCAATTCGAGTCATGCAAATTGGAAATATAACATTAATAATTTTATTATGCCTTTAAACGTATTTAGCCTTGAATTTATCATCCTAAAATGGTTATATAATAATTCGGTGAGTAAACATATAGTACCTATATAGTACCTCAGATTCTTGGTGTATTCAATTAAACCTCATTGCCATACACTACTCGAGATGGTAATTTGTACGCCGAATTTAGGATTAAATGCTCGTATATTGAGTACGCTGCAGTTTTCATCCCTCATCTTATTCAAATTCTTAAAGCAGAAGCGAGTTTCAAACGGTCTAATATTGCCTATAGTACAGTACCGCGGGAATTGCTCGATTATTCTATAAAACTTGGTTGATCTAAAATATGTGCGGTATAGTAGGAATCATATCTAATAAAGACATATCTTGTCTTGAAACAAAAGTGAAAAAAATGAATGTTTTACAAAAGCATCGTGGTCTAGATGGTGAAGGGTATTGGTGTTCAGATAAAAAAAATGTACATCTCGCGCACCGAAGGCTTTCTATTATCGATTTATCTAGCGCAGGTCATCAGCCAATGGTATCCAAAGATAATTTGTATACCATTGTCTTCAATGGTGAGATCTATAATTATAAAGAATTGAAAGAGAAATGTATTAAAAGGGGGAGTAAGTTTTATTCAAACACCGATACCGAAGTAATCATTGAATATATTAAACATTTTGGTGTACAAGGGATCAAGGATTTAAGAGGAATGTGGGCTTTTGTTCTCTATGATATCAGGGAGAATAAAGTGATTTTTTCTCGAGATCCTTTTGGCATTAAACCTCTGCATTATGCTATTTATGAAGATTGTATATATTTTGCTTCTGAAATAAAATCACTGCGTCTTATTGATGATTACTTTAACAAAATTGATGAAGTTACTAAACAAATTTTCTTGGATTTTGGCTATCTTGACATTGGTCAATGGACTTTTTTTAAGCACATAAAGCGTTTTCCTCAAGCAAGCTACGCGGAAGTTGACTTAAATAGGATAGTGAAGATAGAGTTTGTACAATATTGGCAACCACCAAAACAACTTATGAATATTGATGAAAAGAAAGCAGTAGAAGAGTTACATGTTCTATTAAAACAAAGCATAAAAAGACATATGGTTAGTGATGTACCAGTTGCATTTTGCTTAAGTGGCGGCTTAGATTCTTCAATCATAATTGGGATTGCTGCTACGATTGCAGAAAATAAGGAGAAACTCAATAGTTTTACAGCTCACCATCCAAACTTTCCTGAAATAGATGAAGTAAAATGGGCTCAATTAGCAGTGAATCACCTAAATGTGAACCCACATTGGATTGAAGTTGAATATAAAGATTTTGTAGAAGAAGTGGATTTAGTTTTATATCATCATGACGAGCCTTTTGGTTCCACAAGCATATATGCACAAAATACTATATTCAAAGCTATAAATAAAGCTGGCTTAAAAGTCAGCATAGATGGTCAAGGAGCGGATGAGATATTTGCAGGTTATAATTCATATCACTATTTTTTTCTTAAATATTTATTGAAGGAAAGAAAATTCCTAAAATGCATATATGAAATTATAGCACTTTTTATCAAATTCCCTAACTTTATATGGGACAATTTTACTTACATAAAGAGATTATGCAACAGGCGTGCTAACAGTGATTCATACAAAAATATTGCTTATCTTACAAGACTAAATCAAATAAAACATATAATGAAGGCAAATAATTTTAATGAACTATTACTAACTACCTTAATAAGCTCAAGTATACCACAATTACTGCGTAATGGTGATAGGAACTCGATGAAATACCAGGTCGAATCAAGAATACCATTTTTGGATATTGATTTGGTTAATTTTGTCATATCATTACCAGACCAATTTAAGATCAGAAGAGCGACCAAAAAATATCTGTTGCGATTGGTTGCCTACCGATATCTCCCAAAGAGGTTAGTTGATAGAAATGATAAATTGGGATTTCCTGCTCTAGAGAAGGTTTAGATGAAACAAGCGTTTGATATAAATATCTCAAGTGTTTTTACCAGACAATGGAGAGACTTTATCGTGAAAAGATGGGAGAACATGGTCAATACTAAAAACTATAATATGGAGTAGTTGACATTTGATCTTACATATAATAGAAATAATGTATTAAAAATACAGATAGAAAAAATGGAAGGATACAATGAACTTGAATCAAAAAATAATAAAGCCGAAACTAGGATTATTGGGATTAGCAAAGAGTTTAGGGAATGTATCAGCAGCATGTAAGGCTAAGGGATATAGTAGAGATAGTTACTATAGATTTCAGGAATTATATGAAACTGGAGGAGAAGAAGCACTATACGAAATAAGTCGGAAGAAGCCAATAATAGCTAATAGAGTAGATCCTGTTGTTGAGAGAGCAGTTGTGGATATGGCTGTAGAATATCCAGCATATGGGCAGCTTAGAGTATCAAATGAGCTTAAGAAGACTGGTATTCTTGTATAGCTATTCTGGAAAGGTATTAGCCATAGCTGCAGTTATAGCATCATGGACATTATCAAATTTCTTTATAATTTTTCGTAAATAATTTTTAAAATTAGCCCAACAACCTTTTCAATGGCTTCTCTGACTTTTACAGATTTATGAAAACTGACATTATCCATAATGACATATTGTCCTTTCTTTAAATTAGGGCATAAATGTTCTTTAATCCACTGTACAAATAATGCTGTATTAGTGTAGCCAGTGTATTCCATTGGAGCTATTAACTTTTTGCTACCACGTTGATAAGCTGCAACCATGCTGACTCTCTGTTTCTTATATCCAGCTCTCTCTCCATAAGAACGTGTTCCTTTATATGACCAACCATATAATGGCACAATATTATCATCCACCCCAACTTCATCACAAAATACTAACTTCTCCGCTTCTATTGCAGCTATCTTCTCTATATAAACTTGTCTTGCTTCTTCATCTCTTCCTTTATATCTTGTCTCTTTTTTTATATGTAATCTTCATCCTAGACAAGGCATCGTAAAACGTACTCATGGGCAAATTCGGTGCTAAACAATTCCTAATATCTATCCCTTCTGCATCCGGATGTTCTGCTAAATAGGCTAATACTTTTTCTTTATCGTTAAATCTTATCTGCCTACCAGTTTGACAATGTTGCTTTGAACTATAATCTCCCGTCTCTTTATAACGTTTGATCCAATTTGATATTAGACTTCTTGCATAACCATTATATTTTCAATTTTTCAACTCATAATTATACAGGCCAGCAATTAGGTTAAACCTAAGGCCAAAGCGTCTTCTCCTATTTCTATATTTATCAGCAATTATCTTAAAGCGCTTTAGCATTCCGATCACGTTTTCATTTAATGCTCTTTGTACTGCAATCTCTTTGTTTTGTCTCTTGTGCTCTTTAGTTAAAGGCTTTTTCTTGCTTTTCTTTTTCGGTAATTTTGAATTTGCATGTAATTTTGTTATTCCCAGGTAACCTGTATCTGTTATCACTTCTATAGCTGGATGAATAGATGTTCTAGACTCTTTAAATAATCTAAAATCATGTCTCTTGCCATTTGCAAAATTAGTACATATTACCTGTTTCGTTTTTTTATCTACTATAACTTGTGACTTTAGAGTATGCCTCTTTTTCTTTCCAGAGTAGAAATGTCTTTGCCCTTTTTTGGCCTTTCTATCGGGCTTTCTGTAACATCAATCGAAATAGTTTCATACTCCATGTCGCTCTTTAATATTAATAATGCCTTGCGACCAGGCAAAGCAAACTCCGGATGCTTGACTAGACACTCTTCTACCCACTTGATATTCCTATAACACACGCTTTCTCTTACTCCATAAGAACTTGCAATGTGAAAGTAAGTCCTTTATTCTCTTATGTATTCTAATGTCATTAGCAACCTATCTTCCATTGATAAATAATTAGGCTTACCTCCTCTTGCCTTTTTCTTCTTCTCTGCTTCTTGTAAAATCCCTAGCATTCTAGCAAATGTAGTTCTTTTCACTCCTGTCAAACGACGAAATTCCTCATCATTTAATTCCACTAATTTGTCATACTTCATAGTAAAAACTTCTTACTTTCTTACTATGCTAGCACTTATTTTCCTTTACACAACTGCCTTTCCTTACTCCTTTATATCCTCACTTCAAAATTGAAATTCTCTCCTTACCTTGGTTATGCAAGAAGTCTATTGTATGACGATTTATTTTAAATAATTTTGATAGTGCTATCTTTGTATATTTATACCTCTGGTACAACTCAATTACTCTATCTCTTAAATCTTGACTATAAGCTTTCATATCTCTCATATTTTATTTCTTCAAAACCTTACTATAACACACCCTTTGGCCTATCCCTACTCGTATTAGCTATATAGCAAAATCATGGCAGAATAATTGGAAAAATTTGGTAATTTTTTTACAATATCCAGAGGTGATTAGGCGCATTATTTATACAACTAATACAATAGAAGGCTTAAATAGCCAATTACGCAAAGTTACCAACAATAAGAGGGTGTTTCCTAGCGATGACTCTGTTTTTAAAACTTTGTACTTGACAATAGATTACATTACGCGAAAAGGGACTATGCCTATCCAAAATTGGGGAGAAGCCATGGCCCATTTTTTGATAAAATTTGAGGGTAGGATTTAAGTGTCTATTTTAGAATTTACACACTTAAAAAGACAGAGCCTACAAGAATTAAAAGGTGCTAAAATATAACAATTTATAATCAAATTATGACCTTTTTCAATTAATGCGTAAGATTAGTAATTAAACTTAATTATATATTAATATATTTTTTATACTCGGTGATCAAGTTTTTTTAAAGATATAGGAGATAAAGAAATTAGTATAAGCTGTCCTTTAAACCGTTGACACCTCGCCTGATGATGGCACTTCATACGCATTAATTGCTTTATCTTCAATAATAAGGTTATTAAAGTTTTCCTGTTCTATTACCTCAGTTCTTATTAGTAAATTTTTTATATATTCAGAGGTTTCTTTACGATTTAAATCATCCCAAGCAGAATATGGAATTCTTATTACTTTATACCCTAAATTTTCTAGTAACTTACTATTAAGTTTTGTAGCACTATTGAGATTAGTATTATTAAAATGGGTAGGACCATCTGCTTGAACTATAGTATTTTTATTTTTAATATAGATATCAACTTGAGAATTAATTTCTTTTATCCAATACTCCCCTATAATATTAGTATCTTCCTCTAATTCGTTAGTAACTTCTTTAATTGTATTGAATACAGCTTTTTGGAAATTAGAAGTATTGCAAGAAGGAGAAGAGTCTTTAATTATTTGTTCCAAATAATTTTTACTATTTTCTGATAGCAATCCATGACTATCTTTTTGAAACAAATAGTAATGGGTGGTTAATAGCTGATGACCCTCCTTCAGATTAAATAACTGATAATTCGTGTTAACAACCTTAATTATTGACTCGGAAATTTCAATGTTAGAATTAGTTAAATTATTGATCATGCAGATTGCATAAATAGAATTAGCTAAGTTTTGAGGATCAAACTTATCAATAATCTTGATAGCTGCTATTTCCCACTCCTTAATGCAGTCGTTTGAGGGCTTTTCTCCTAAAAGGCCAAAAGCATAAATAGAATTAGCTAATTCTTGAGGTTTAAACTGATCAATAATCTTGATAGCTGCTATTTCCCACGCCTTAATGAAGTCGTTTGATGGCTTTTCTCCTAAGCGGCCAAAAGCATAAATAGAATTAGCTAAGTTTTGAGAATTAAACTGATCAAACAGATCAATAATCTTGATAGCTTTTATTTCCCACACCTTAATGAAGTCGTTTGAGGGCTTTTCTCCTAAAAGGCCAAAAGCATAAATAGAATTAGCTAATCCTTGAGGATCAAAGTGATCAATAGTCTTGATAGCTTTTATCTCCCACTTCTTAATAAAATCTTTTGATGGCTTTTCTCCTAAAAGGCCAAAAGCATAAATAGAATTAGCTAATCCTTGAGGTTTAAACTGATCAAACTGATCAAACTGATCAATAGTCTTGATAGCTTTTATTTCCCACTTCTTAATAAAATCTTTTGTGGGCTTTTCTCCTAAAAGACCAAAAGCATATATAGAATTAGCTAAGTTTTGAGAATTAAACTGATCAATAATCTTGATAGCTTTTATTTCCCACGCCTTAATGAAGTCGTTTGAAGGCTTTTCTCCTAAGCGGCCAAAAGCATAAATAGAATTAGCTAAGTTTTGAGGTTTAAACTGATCAAACTGATCAATAATCTTGATAGCTTTTATTTCCCACGCCTTAATGAAGTCGTTTGAGGGCTTTTCTCCTAAGCGACCAAAAGCATAAATAGAATTAGCTAATTCTTGAGAATTAAACTGATCAATAATCTTGATAGCTTTTATTTCCCACGCCTTAATGAAGTCGTTTGAGGGCTTTTCTCCTAAGCGGCCAAAAGCATAAATAGAATTAGCTAATCCTTGAGGTTTAAACCAATCAATCATTTTTATAGCTTCTCTTTCCCATGCCTTTATAAATTCATCATCTACTTTTATTTGTTTTTTACCAAATTGGTATAAAATAATTGCTAGCCCACGTGCATTAAACCATAATTCTTGGTCTACTTCTTCAGTTAATAAAATTAGAGCTCTTTGATAAATTAGGGTTTTTTCTTCCTCAGTAATATCCTCTTTGATCTTCCCACATAGAGAAAAAGCACTCATTTTTTGTATATTATTATGCTGGTTACTCTTGTATGTGTTATAGTTAAATGAATTGAATTAGGTGGTGAGATATGGTATAGTTAAGAGAAAAATGTCAACAAGTTCATATAGTATAGATTTAAGAGAAAAAGTACTGCAGTTTTTAGAAAAAGGCAACAGTCAAAAATTTGCTTCAACAATTTTCAATATACATGAAAATACAATTAGTAGATGGAATGTAAGGAGGACAAGAGAAGGTACTATAGCTCCTAAAGTTAGATTAGGTTTTAAAAGTAAAATAAATAAAAGCGAATTAATAGATTTTGTAAATACTAATCCAAATATTACACTACAGGATGTTGGTAATAAATTTGGTATTACATCTTCGCAATCAGGTCGTATCTTAAAAAAATTAGGCTTTAGTTATAAAAAAAAACCTTTAGCTACCTGGAAGCAAGTGTAGAAAAGCGATCTGAATATTTAGCAAAGATAAGTAAATATGATAAAAAGCAAATAGTATATCTTGATGAAAGCGGTATAGATAGGACTATTTGCCAAGATAAGGGTTGGTGTAAGATAGGAGAATTACTAGTTGGAAAAAAGAGTGGAAAACATTATCAAAGAACTAATATCGTCGCTGGTTTGGTAAATAATAAGTCAATAGCCCCTTTTGTTTTTAGTGGAACTTGTAATACAGAATTATTTAATAATTGGGTTGAACAATTTTTAATTAAAGAATTAAGCCAAGGACAAGTTGTAGTGATGGATAACGCTAGTTTCCATAAATCTGCAAAGACAAAAAATCTAATAGAATCAGTAGGTTGTACAGTTATGTTCTTACCTCCATATTCACCAGACTTAAATCCTATAGAAAAGTTTTGGGCTAATATGAAAAGATGGATTAAATATAAAATAACAGAAACTAGTAAATTATTCGAAACTATCACTATGTTTTTTGCCACCTAACTCAATGCATTTGAGTATATGCATATTCCCTCTAACGATTAAATATTTAGTACCAATATATTTGTTTGAAAATTCATAATAGATCTATGCCTTGTATGATCTATATGGAGTAGGTTTTTCAATTAATCATTAATGGCTTTAATAATATTTCTTTACTCTTTGAGTTATAGTCATTTAGGTTGAATTAAATACTAGGTGCGAGGAGTGAAGCAAGCTAGGTGAGCAAGAAGCAACAAGGTGGTAACCTAAATGACTATAGCACCGTCTGATAGCCTAAATCGTTAAGGCGTTGACACTATATGTATCTCTAAGTATGCATATCTATTATACTTTCTATATACTACCTTGTCTGTATCCTATTGATATAAGCTATACCATTTTATCTACTCCATGAATTTAAAAAATTATTTTTGCAATATCTATACCAATTGTGCTAACTTCCATATGAGCTTTGTAATTATTTGTTTTAATATATTTAACATTAATGCTAGAAAATTAGCAACTGTTTTTCATGCTGTATATTCAGAGACCTAGACTTATTATAGTTAAACTATAAATATGTTTATCGTATTGCCGTGGTACTTTACGGTTACATTTCGGCGGGATAACAACCCTACAGCCCTTATTTTCTAAGCTTGCTACAAAGGCACTACTATCCTACCCCTTATCGGCTATTAAGGTAGTATCGTGGATATCTTTGGTAAGATTTTTAGCTTGAGTAATATCATTCCTTGGTCCAACAGTGAGAATAAACTTTAAAGGATTACCAAGCGCATCAGCTTAGTAGCATCGATTCGTTGATTCCATATCTGTATACACTGTTACATAATCCATTAATTCTTACAGATATCTTGTTCTACCCATCTCTTAAATCTACGATAAATACTGTGCCAATACCCATAATGTTCAAGTAAAAGACGCCATTGATTGACAAACCATATCGCCTCAATAAATTTCCTTAAACTAGCTTCATCGTGGCTATGTATGCCTTTAGTTTGTTTTAAAAATGTTATCATTACTTCCCATGCTCGTTCATTTATGTAATACTTCATTGTGGTCGTTTCTTTAGTGTCATTAACTAAAAACTACCACTTGGTATTATTATTGCAATCCTCTATCTCATCTCCCTCAACCTTAAAACTTTTGTCAACACAATCTAGGTATCATCTTATATTTGGAATCACTGAACGAGGTATGGAAAGAAAAATTTACAACTAGCTTATTATTTCTTGAATTTACCGTATAAATAACTTATATTCCAAGGCAAAATATAAGTCCGCATGTTTTTGCCTTATCTATTTAATCAGTTAATCAAAAACATATGTTTTGTAGGATCACCTAAAATGTTATACTAGTCAATTTCCATATTAGTAGCTATCATTCCAGTGTTAGGTTTAGTTTCTGGCTTTTCTGTAGCAGTAACGGTTCCTATTTTTCTACTATTAACATTGTTTGCGTTGAGAGACCAGCTGTTTACTCACTTGAATCCTACAGTTATAAAAAATAATTTATTATTCAAGTGGAAACTGGAGTTAATGTTTGCCCTGTGGAGTTTTTGTGCTATTTTTTATTCGCCGCACTATCTTGGTTCCTTGTTTGTATATCTCCAAATCTCTGTTATTATATTAATAGGGTTTATAGTAAAGCAGAACACTGAAAAACTAGCTATAAATAAGACTACTGTCATAAGATATTTTGTAATTGGCATGTTAGTGGCGGTGAGTATATTTTTTATAGAATATTTTTTTTATGGCATTATAACACGAGGGTTTCGTACTATTTTTCAGCCTAACACTTCTGGACGATTCTTTCTATTTATCCTTGATCGTGGTTGTTCTTTATTATCTGTTCTCTCCTGGCTAGTAATTGGTATATTCATACAATATCATAAATATTTTTTGGCTTTAATATATTACCTGCTAATAGTCTATTTATTAGCTATTTCTGATAGTCTTGCCAGCTTTTTAGCTTTTATAATAGGTGGTATAGTATTTTTAAGCAGTAGATTATCAACTACTAAGTGGTTACAATCGATGTTTCTAAAATTATTTACTATAGCTATGATAACCGGTTCAATATTAATGCCTATAATTTGCTATAAAATAGAGCCACATGAATATTCAGATCACTATGCTAATTTTTTGTCAGATTCTGCAAAACACCGTCTCTTCATTTGGCATTTTATTGCTAAGAAAATTGTAAAAAAACCAATTATTGGTCATGGGTTTTCGGCCTCAAGGTATTATTCTCAATATTATCAAGCCAATAGCAGCAAGATAATGACTTACAATCAGCAGTCATTTCCTCTATTTCCTTTACATCCACATAACAATATAATACAGATATTCTTTGAAACAGGCGTAATAGGACTATTATTATTTTTATCATTAGTTGTAAAATATATTAACCAAATTGGTAGCTTGGCTTTAGTAGGGTCTGCAAAAAATAATATCTACTCACAAATAGATTATAAAACATTAAATTATACTTCCATTTGTTATGCTGCTTTTATAAATTATTATATAATAGGGATGATTTCCTTTAATATTTGGCAAACATGGTGGGTTTGTGCGGCCTTGGGGTCAATGATTTTATTCCAATTGCTTGCACGTAATACAACGCAAACTTCAGCGATTCCAAATGTGAGATGTGATCGTTTAGGGGTTTTATAAAGTAAAAAAGTTCTGTCGCATTTGCAGGGATAGATTTATCTGGCTTCAAAGTTTTTAGGAATTAACTTATTAACGTGAGCATCCGTAATATAAGTCAATAAGCAAGTAAGGAATTAACATAATTTTTCATTCCAAGAAGAATTATTTTTTATAATAGAATGCATAAAAGCAAGGAGTTTATGCATCACAGCAACTAAGGCAACTTTAGCGCAGGTTTATGTTTAGCAATTAATCGATCATAGAAATTGCGTAAACGCTTATTGCATCTTAAAGAAGCAACAGCAGCCATATAAAGGACTTTTAGTAGATTACCTCTACCGGCAAAGATACTCCTTCTACCTTTATAACTACCACTTTCTCTAGCAAATGGAGCAAGACCTACTAAAGAAGTTAAATGCCTAAATTCAATAAGGCCTAGTTCTGGTGCTTCACATATTACAGTTCATAAAGAACTGAAAATTATTGGTCAAAAAAACACAACTTCAGTATGGCAGCGAGTCTTTTTTTCTATGACCAAATGTGCTATTATTAGGACTAATTTTGGCGAAATATATGCGATTTATAGTCCACAATCTATCCAAGTAATGCTCGTTGATCCTGTCAATTTTGCTATTATATTTAGCGATATGGATATGTTAGATCAGTGGGATAATGAAGATGTGGCAGATTACATATTGTCAAATTATTCCCACGTTTTGGATCAATTTATGCAGATTCGAGAATTAATAAACCAGGGATACTCAAGGCTTGAAGCATATAATAAGGTAGTTTTAATAAACAGATCATCTCGTGATACAAAAGATTTTTATTCGTTTATACTCGCACAATCTAGGGTATGTCGTCATGAGATTTTAGCCCACATTAATAATCCTCTTAGACAAAGTCCTGCCATGAATGATTTTGTATTTTTAGAATATCTTGCTGCTGTACCCCGCCATTCTTTAAATGTTTGAAATGTATTTTCAATAATATGCCTTAGTTTATATAAATCTTTATCTATCTCTCTTTGAATTTTTCTGTTTCTTTTTGATGGTATTACAGGTATTATGTGTGCTCTCTGGGCAGATTCTACGATGATATTTGTATCGTAAGCTTTATCCGCTATAATATGCTGTGCATCTATATTTTGTGTTAACTCACAAGCTTGAGTACAATCGTTTCTGGAACCTTCTGTAACAATAATTCTGACCGGCATACCATGCGCATCCACGGCCATATGTACCTTTGTATTGATCCCCCTTTTGTGCGGCTAATCGTTTGATTCCCCCCTTTCGCACCAAGTCCTGCTTTATGTGCTTTGACAAATGTAGAATCTATCATTAACCATTCAAAATCAGGATCATTTATAAAAATATTTAGTAAACGCTCCCATACCCCTTTATCACGCCATCTACAGAATCTCCTGTGCACATTCTTCCAATTGCCATAATCTGGTGGTAAATCTCTCCATGGAGCTCCTGTTCTAAATATCCACATCACTGCATTTATAAATGTTCTATTATCTACCGCTACACCTCCCCAACTACCTCTCGTGCCAGGTAAGTGACTCCCTATCTTATCCCAAAGATCATCCTTTATATCATGTCTTCTATGCACTGGGCTCATAGTTTCTTATCATCTCTTTCTGTTGCTACAATGACCAAAGCAAATCCCGCCAAATTATTCAATCACTATCTTATGACGACTTACCCTAGAAAAAAAATCTATGCCATTTGTGGATACCATCATAACCGTAAATGAAAGTTGTAAACTGCACTTTGAAAAAACTTTTTCCCCTTGTCCGCCAGTGAATATTATTTATAATAGTTATTCGTTTGAACCTCAAGAGGAAAAAGCCAAAGATATAAAGCAATATTTTCAAAACAAAGAATTACCAATTTGTATTTTTCAAGGAGGGATATCATTAGGACGAAACTTAGAGAACACTGTTAAGGCTTTTGCTCAGCTTGGTGAAGTTTGTAATCTGCTAATATTAGGAAGGGGAGATATTTTTGCGAATTTAAAGAATATTGCTTTAGAGTACAATGCTGCAAATATATTTTTTATGAATTGGGTGGCCCAGAATAAATTGCCTAGCATATTAAAACAGGTTAGTTTTGGTGTAATACCATACATTTCAGATAACAAGTTGAATAATGTTTATTGCACTCCTAATAAATTATTTGAATTTATCAGTTTGAAAGTGCCGATACTTGCAAATAGTCTTCCTGAAATACACCGTATTATTACCCAATATGAGATAGGCTTAATCTTTGATTTAACCTCAATTACTTCTATTCAGGAAGCAGTAAAACAAATCATTAACACACAATTTCCTGCATCAAATTTTATTAATGCAGAGGTAGATTTAGGATGGGAAGCTCAGAAAAAAGTTTTATTAACAATATATAAGAATTAATAGGATTTTGCAGGGCTCGGTTATGCTCACGTATTATCTATACGCTGCGCAACCTCACCTTTAAATTCAAGTGTCACCAGCTAAATCACTTTGGCTATACTGTAATATGTGAAGCACCAGAACTAGGACATATTAACTTTAGGCAGCTAACTTCTTTGATAGTCTTGCTCATTTTGCTAGAGAAAGTGGTAGCTACAAAGGGAAAAGAAGTATATTTGCTGGTAAAGGGGGGCTGCGAAGAGTTCTTTATATGGCTGCTGTTGCTTCTTTGAGATGCAACAAGTGCTTACGCTTATAAAAGAGGTGCCATATTATTGAATGATTCCTCCACAATCAGAGCGTTATAAAGCAGCGAGATATCTGATTCATTTTCGTTTAAACTTAAATCCCGCAAATATTGCTGTTGTAATGTTTCATTATTTATAATAAGGTTAGTTCTAATTAAAAGATCTATATTAGGGGCGGCCAACAACGCTTCTTTAAACCTAGGGGAAATTTTTTCTATAGAATCATTGTTATCAAAATCAGTTATTCTAAGCGCAGCTATAACCTTTAAAAGTATATCATTACATTGATTTAACATTTCTTCAGTAATGGAATAGCCTTTTACATAATCTCCGTTAAATATCTTGTTGTATAAGTCTTTTATTTTCTCTTTATATACTTTACCAAAAAATTTTAGCTCATTATTCTTAAGTTTATTAACGGTTTTATATATTAAATTCTGATATGTGGCATCTAAAAGAGGAGATATCAATTCATTAAAATCCTTACTAAATATATTAGGAATTAATGAGTGTTGTAATTTATGACTCTCACCCAGGGAATTTAATAGTAATTCGTATTCTTCATATGCCGGAATTCTATTATACGTATCTAAGAAAACCTTATTAATACATTGGTAGATGATATTATACTGCACTGGAATACGAGCACAATCTGGCCCTGAACTCTCATAAATAAAATCTTGAAACTGTATCATCAACTCATTATCTTCTTTAAATTCAACAATAATTTTGCTTACTAGGCTATTTACTACTTCTCTAATATTATTCTTATTAATAACTAAATTATTAGAAGGTGTTGCTCCTCCGATCCATAACTCGTATTTATCACTCATTGATGGTTCTAATTCATCTACTATGCAAAACGCAATCCTTCCTATAAATCCTGGTAAACAAGAAGGAGTACGTCCATAACTTATTTCTGCACTGCATATAGCGGTACATAACTTAAATAACTGCTCTAGCTGAAACGCATAATTTATATCATTATCACTTACAGTTTTAAATAATACATCAACCATATTTTCTGGTAATGACTCTAAGTTTTTATAAAATTTGCTTCTATTAGATAATATTGTAGAGGTTATATCATCTCTTCCTAATATTTTTACAATTTTATCTATATTATCATTAACCAAGTCAGGGTTTTTATTATATAAAGTTACTAATAATTCTTTCTTCTCGTTAACACTAGCTACTCTTTGGATAAAATATTTTTTAATTATAGCTAGAAGTGTAGGGACAGAGATAGACTGCATCACATTATCACCTACAGGCCAATATGCCAATGTGCCAGCAGCATGCCCTTTATATTGACCTGTACCTAAATCTTTCTCTAAATAAGTTTTATTCAAAGAATTAATTGCAGTTTCAACTATATATTTGATATAGTTATTTGGAGAGCCGGTAATTAATTCTTGAAATTTCTTTAAAGTTGCTCCTGAAGATTTGTATATAACTTCCGTAAAAAACTCTTTTCTTATATCGAGACTAGTATTTATGAATGTTTCCAGTAAAATTTGATTATTTAATAATAATTTTTCAGATATCTCATCACTAAAATTCCCTATTAACTCTTGGATTTCATTATTTGGAATCCTTACTAATTGCTCAAGTACCCAATCTCTCTTTTTTATAATGTTTTTATCATGTGAACTTTGCGCATCATTAGCAATTTGTTGTAAAACTGTTTGTTGCCCAGAAATAGGTACAGGAGTGAACCCCTTACTAAATAAATATCGGTGCATTTGTAAGTCATTATTATAGTATTTCATTAGGGTATTAGTAGACCCTAGATATGTATAGCTAAGTATAATTGGGAATTCAACCGGGCGTTCTAATATGTATTTAACAACTTCAATATTTTGCTGAGCTCCCATATGGTCCAAATATTTAGATATGTGGCGCGCTATTTCTTCTTTATTTTTTCCTTTACTTTTTAAGTTTTCAATTTCTTTGTACATTCTCAATATCCCTTCATGGAGATAATTACTAGAATAGGTTCTGAAAGGATCTAGATTAAGTAATTTTAAAGCTACTTTGCTGCTATCTGTCCCATTGCTTACGTTTAAGTAATCTATGGAAAGTGAATTATTGGTAATTGCTGCTATAATTCTTAACTGCACGGGTTCCGTAATATCAAGACTATATAAGTTTAATACCTTTAAATTTGGTAATGCTTTTGCTTCTATAGAGAATGATATAGCGTTTACTGTATAATCAGTTGGGGAATAAGCAGATAAATCGATTTCTTGAAGACAGCGCAGGTTACTATTATCAGCATTTTTAAATATAACATGCAGGTTCTTCTCAATATTTTTTTTAAACTGATCCGTATGCGGCCCTGCAATAGCAATCTTTTTTAAACTTGAAAACTGTCCTTCTTTTACTGCTCTTTCTAGGGCCCTACTTTCGTCCATATTAAAATTACTATAAATAAGAAGCTCAGATTTTGAACCGTGGGAAATCGATTTTAAGGCTTGTTCTACTCTATTTATCATAAATATTTGATTATTTAATATTAAAGAAAATTAATAGTTTTGTTAGGTACTTATAATTTATTTTAAATTAAAGTCAATCATTACTTGAAAAAAGTTAGTTTTATAACTATAATGGCCTGAAGAAATTAGAGAGGGGAAAAGGTAAATTTGTTTCCTAATTAAGGTAAAATAAAATGAAATTAAAATTAGGGAAAAAATGACCAAGAATAAAGCCAAAGTTTTCAGTAGTGAAGAGAAAACAAAAATAGTATTAGAATTATTACGAGAGGAAAGTCCATTATCTGTACTTTCGTCAAAATAAGAAGTTAGCGGTAAAACTATTCAAAATTGAAAGAAGCAATTTGTGGCAAATGCAGCATTAGCGTTTGAACCAGCTAAAGTTTTAAGTGAATATCAAGAGGAAGTTAACAAGATTAAAGAACAAAATGACGAACTTGTTAAAGCACTTGGGAAGACTACAGTTGAGAGGGACTGGGCGGTGGGAAAGCTACAAAGCTTGGACTTATCAAATAGAAAAAGTCAGCTCGACTCCAAGCTAGGCCTACTACCAAAGACAAGGCAATGTGAATTATTAACAATTAATCGTTCGACAATGTATTATAAGGTCAAACCACTAAGTCAACCTAACTGGAATATATTAAATAGAATAGATGAAATCTATACAGATAATCCTGAATTTGGCTATCGTTATATCCATCAACAATTATTAGAAGACGGTTTTGTTAGTGGTAAGGACCGAGTTCTAAAATATATGAACCTGATTGGGATAGAAGCTATTTATCCGAGAAAGAAAAAGCTAGGGAGTGTTCATCAAACTGTGGGGTGGTAGCCAAAAAATCTAAAACGTTTTATAGTTTATCCTAATCTAACTGCTCGGTTTATTGTAGCAACATCATACCTTGCATATCCCCAAACATCGCAAGAGTTAATTATTCATTCTTATACACTCCCCATAAAGCTGTTTTAGGGATCCACCCAGTCTTATTTTTACAGCTAATTTGACAATAATCATTTTGACATTTATTAAGTAAACAACGAACCTGACTATGTACTTTTGCTTTAATCTTATGGATGTCGTTAGGTGATTTAGTAATATTCACTATGTGAGGACTTATTATAATTACTGACCTTTTGCCGGATAATACACTGGAATGTACCCACCCTCCTTCTCCTTTAATATCTCGTATTTGCCTCCATTGCTCATATTCTTCAATAATTTCTACAGGTTCACCTTTTTTAATAAATACCCATTCTATAGATGATTTTATACTAGGTCCCATCCTTGCGTTTACTTCATTAGATCTGATTGACGCAAAGCGAGGAAGAGGAAGTTTTTTGCTCTCAGCTAAGGCCAATATAGGCATAATAATTAAGGCTGAGCAAATAAGCACATGAATATATGATCTGGAATAAAGAAATATTAATAACTGATGCAACATGTTGATAATTTAATTAGCAAGTTAACAATAGACCTATTTCGATATATACTCTATAAACTTTAAGAATTGGCTCTATCGTTGTTCAAGTTCACAGCTGCTCACGTGTCAATTATGCTTGCAAGAGTTACGATAAAGGTCTAATTAATCAATCATTGGCCAGTCTGATTTTTAAAATTGAATCTGAATAAACTTTAATATGTTTCAGATTCATTTTCTTCTAAGGCGCTTAACGCATCATCTCGTTTAGCTATTACATAATTACCAGACCTAAATTGCCCTTTAATGCGATTGATCTCATATTCGCTAATACCAATAAACTTTAAAATTGTTCCCCCTAACTGCAAGCCAGTTTCATAATTTTCTGGTATAATAGTAGTGGCGCCCGCATCATAAAATTCTCTAGCATTTTGTAAATTTTTCAACCGCACGATAACTTCAAGGTCAGGAAAATAGCTTGTGATAGTCTTGAGAGATTTTTTAATAGTGATATGATTATTCATTGTTAGAGCTAAGGCTAAAATCCTTTCAGCTCCTACAGCTTTTAATGTATCAATCTGCGAGACATCTCCTTTAAAGACAGGAAAGCCATTAGCCGTTTCTTCTTTCACAATGTCATCATTTACATCTAGAGCTATATAATTAATGCCTTCAGCTTCTAGTACTAAAGCAATCATTTTACCTACACTACCAAAACCTGCAATTATTATGTGATTGGTTAAATCTCTTGCTCCTAGCTCTATAATTTGGAGAGATGTTTTACCTAAACCTTTATCTAGCCTTTCCGAGAGTTTCTTGCCAAGCATTGCTAATAAAGGAGTTAAAGCCATAGTACAAGTTACTGTTAATAGCAGAATATTTGCTATATTTTCTTCAAGGATACCTGTTTCTTTGCCCAACCCAAATAAGATAAAAGCAAACTCTCCTCCTTGTGATAATAATAAGCCAGCATGTAAAGCAACTCCCTTATTAAAACCGAATAAAATACACAAGGCAGTAATAATTAAGGTTTTTACTATAATTAAAGCTAAGGAACAGGTAAGAATAGTGGAAATTTGGGCATATATTTCATATGCATCAATTTTCATTCCTACTGTCATAAAAAATAATCCAAGTAATAAACTTTTAAATGGGTAAATACTTTCTTCAGCTTGCGTACGAAATTCTGTTTCTGCCACTAAAACCCCGGCAACAAATGCTCCTAGAGCAAGAGATAAACCAAAATATTCAGTAGCCCAAGCGGCAGATAAGACTATTAATAAAGTCATAGAGATAGGCAGCTCATTGATATCTCCATTATCTGAAGAAATTAAAGCAAATAATGGCCTTAATAATAACCTTCCAGCTATAAAGATTGTTAGTAGCGCAATAATTGCCTTCACTAAGGCTATGCCTAAAGCTGAAAGTAATGAAGCTTTGCTGTTTCCTGCGAGTAAGGGTACAATAACCAGTAGCGGTACCACTGCTAAATCTTGTAATAGTAATACTGATAAAGCAATACGTCCGTGTTGAGTTGATTGGCTCCGACTTTCTTCTATCACTTGCATTACAAGCGCAGTGGAGGATAAGGCAAGCCCCCCACCGATAATAATAGAGGCGTTACTATTACCATTAATTAACACCACAGCTGCAGCAACTATTATAGCAGTAGTTAATACTTGTAATGAGCCAAGGCCAAATACATACCTTCTCATTACTTTCAATCTTTTAAAAGATAACTCTAAGCCTATTGCGAAAAGTAAGAATACTACTCCTAATTCTCCCAATAATTTAGTTTGATCGTATGTTACAATTCGGAAGCCATTATCTCCAATGGTTGCTCCTGCAATTAAATAACCTAACACTGGGCTTAAGTTAAGACGTTTAAGCGACGCTACTACAAATACCGCAGTTCCTATTAAAATTATGACATTGATAAGGATGTGCTCGTCCATTTATACCTTATGTTATTTGATAAAACCAATTACTGGCTATAATATTATTTCACTTTCAAGAATTATTTGATCATTTTGGCATATGCCTGGTCTTCCATTGCGTAAGTACAGTTAGAGTCAATGGATATCCATATAGTTGTAGTCTTTCGCTATAGCGATGTTAACTGCGAGGTACCTCTAGTAATCTTTTTACTACGCTCCTTACCTATCTACTCCTTAATTTACCTGAATAGATTTATAACATGTTCTTCTAGATCAAAATAAAATGAGGGTCTGGCAGGTTAAGTAGTATATGACACAGACTAAATTAGAGCCTTTAATTGTATGATAAAACAATCAGCTGTGGGACTCGAGTGCATTGGGTAATTAAGTATTAATGATTATACACGTGTTATTGAAAATGTAACAAAAAATTTAGTTTAAAAACTGACAATTGTCTAGCACAAGTTAATTATTTTTCTTATTTAAGTACTGGAGTTATGCTATTATTGTTAATAATAGCATAACTCTTCACTCTAACTGTATATCAGTTATAGTGAACTTGAGTTGAATTAGATACTAGGCGCAAGGATAGAGCCTAGAACTAGTTGGTAATCGAAGAGCAACAACGTAGCTAATTTAAGCCAATTTACTATACTTTGAGTCGTGACCTATACTTTTTTAGCCCACATTTCTTCTAATTTAAAATGTTCTCTCACTGCTGGGTAAAATACATTAATTAATATATTGCCTACATCTATTAATACCCACTCTGATTTTCCAAGCCCTTCAATATTAACATTAATGCCCGCTTGTTGTTTTAACTCCAGTGCTACATATTCTGCTATGGCCCCAACATTTTTAGTGGAACGGCCATTTGCAAAAATAATATATTCTGCTAAAGTAGTGTTCTTTTTTACATCAATTATAGTTATTGCTTCAGCTTTTTTTTCTTCTAAAAGTTGTACTATAAATTCTTTCAATGTTTCAATATTTTCTAGCATAATTACTCTTTTAAATTGGCACGGATCAATGAAGACGAAATTTCTGACATAATTCCACGATATATTGTAATACTATTATTTATTTTTTTATCAATATTTGCTTTAAAATCTATAGTAAAGCGATTAAAACTCAAACGACCCGAGATATTTGGCCTATCAAAAACCACAATTTTACATAAGTTAGTTATATCTTTATACCTATACCATTTATGGAAATTATTTATATTATCAATACCCATAAGGAAGATGAAATTTATTGTATTAAATAATTCTTTAAATCTCTGCAGAGTAATATAAGTATGATTTGACCCAATATCATGCTCAGCTGAGGACACTAAAATCCTTGGATGTTTTACTATTTGTGCCGCATTAAAGCTTCTAGAAAATATGTCTAGCTTATATTGTTTTTTTAGCGGATTTTGAAGTGCCACTAACCAAATTATATAATCTAAATTTAATATTTTGATAGCCTGTTCACTGATTAGTAAATGTCCAATATGAGCCGGATAAAATGAACCTCCTAAAATGCCCAGGTTTAAATGGCAATTTCGTAAAAAATTTAAAGATTGTAGATTATAGATTTTTGATATATTTTGCATATTAAATACTTATATACAGATAGTAAAAGATGGCAATATCTATTCAAAGGCTTGAAGAAATTATACGGGATACTTTTCCAAATGCAAAAATAAAAATTACTGATTATGCGGGTGATCAAGATCATTATTCTCTCGCAATAGAAGATGAAGCCTTTATAGGGGTAAGCCTTGTCAACCAGCACAAAATGGTCAAAAAGTCTTTGGCTCAAATAATTAACAATAATCAGCTACACGCTATAACCATTCAAACTATAGTCTCTTTTCATAATGAAGTAAGCTAAAGGATATAGTTGTAATAAAAATGTTGCGTATTTTGAAAGTTTAGTATATAGTGAACTCTCAAAAAAAACCGTATTAAACGGTTCAAAAATAAGTAATTTAAGAGGTAGAATGAGCGGTATTATTGGTAGTCAGTTTGGAAACAAATTCACTGAAATGCAGAAAGGGAGTGAGGTGGATCCTAAACACCCAGTTAATAATAACGAGCTTGAGGCAGAATATGATTTCGCTAATGATGACTTGCCAGTAGGCAAGACAATTAGGCCCCATAAATTGGCTACTAGCACTGTTGACCTTGCTTACCGACTTCCTTATAAGCAAGATTTTGCAGGAAAAGAGTTAAATTTATTTGGAAATGAATTAATGGGAGCAGGCTGGCAGATAGCGTTTAATTCTTCTGAGAGTATTGAAACTAATAAATGTGGTTATAAGGCGGTAGTATGGGTTAATCATACCACTAAAGAAGTGCATATTGCTTCAGCAGGTACACTCATAGATGTATATGATGTAATCGACGATTTGTTGGTTGCTACTGGCCATACTCCTTCCAAATTCGTGCCAGCTAAAGCAATGCTTGAAAAAGTAACGAGCGAATTTAATAACGAATATACAATTAGTACTAGTGGTCATTCGCTGGGGGCTTTTTCCTCCAATTACACCATAATATTAGCTAAATTGTGGGGAAGGCAAGTTGGTAAATCTACTACCTTTGAAAGTCCAGGTACTGAAAAGGCAATAATAAACGTAATAAAAGAGTATGAAAATACTAATAATGTAAAAATTAATATAGAAGATTTGAGAAACTGTTGTGAAGTATTTAATGCTAGCCCTAATTTGATCAATACTTCTAATGACCATTTCGGCAAGGTTCATTTGACAGAGTTTTCACCTCCTAAAGTAGAACCAGAATCAGCAACAGGGATTTGGTGGTATACACAGTATTTATATAACAAAATAGGAGAAATCATTGGTCCCTGGTTAAAAGAATCCAAGTTCATGAAAGTTATCAAAGAGCATCCTCTGGCAAATTTTATGGAGGAAGAAAACCTAATCTTCCCTCCTGTAGATAACAGGGGTAAAGATGGTGCAGTGGTTTTAAAAGATTCAGAAAAATTTGCCACATGTAAATCTACCGGTAAAGATATAACCGTTAATAGATCTACAATCTTACCTCCAGATTTAACAGGCCTCCCTTCGCCTGTAGCCTCTCAGTCCCAGACCTTTTCTTACTCTGACTTATCTTGTGGGCAGGAATTTAGTATAGAAAGCACTTTATTAGGACATAATAACAATCTAGCGTATATTACTGTCTGCTAAACTTACCTCTGCACTAAAATTTACTTGCGGGGGGAGCTCTGCTGCTGCTAGTAATTCGGCACGAGCGCACCTACTACAGGCGCGCTCTCTTGGCTTCGTTTTTTAAGTTTTTATTATTCAAATTATCTATCCTTTTCCCCCCAAACTATTGTAAATTATTTTTATCTCTTTTCTTTATAAGACCAACAATTAGTTACTTACCAGCTTCTATTATTAAAGATCTTTAGCATGAAAATTAAGGTTGAAATTATTAAGAGCTACCGAAATTGGCAAAAATATAAGTTTATTACTAAGCCTTTTGTCAAAAAAGTTGTTGCTAATATAATAAATAGATATAATAATTTAAAAATAACGCAAGAACTTGAAGTAGTGATTTTGCTTACGGACGATAGTCAAATGTCGCATTTAAATCACCAATTTCTAGGTAAAAATAAAGCTACTAATGTATTATCATTTCCTGATATAGTATTAGATTTCCGGCATTTACTTGAATTTATCCCAGATTCATATTATATGTATTTAGGAGATATAGCTTTTGGGTATGAAACAATTATAAAAGAAGCGATAAGTCAAAATAAAACCTTTAAAGATCATTTCACACATCTCTTAATACATGGTATTTTGCATTTGTTAGGCTTTGATCATCAAAATAATGAAGAAGCAGAGATTATGGAAAAATTAGAAGCAGAAATATTACGCTGTTTTGCAATTGATTCTCCATATTAATTAATTTAAAGAACTATATGCCACGATCTTCGAAACAAGAAGACACTTCCTCCCCCTCTTCTAAAATGTTCATGATTAAAAATTTTTTTAAAATTTTTATTTCTTGGTGTTCTTGTTGGAAAACAGGAGATAATTTTTTTCATCTGGTTAAGAAACTAGATACTAATAGAAAAAAAATGTCACTAGAAGAAAAAAAAATTTTTATCAATCTATTGGATTTTGGTCAAAAGACGGTAGAAGAGGTCGTAATTCCTAGGTCGGACATAGAAGCTATAAAGTTGACGGCAAGTTTTGAAGAATTAAGCAGGATATATAGTAATAAAGTTCTCCGTACTAGAACATTAGTTTATAATGAAACTTTAGATAATATAGTTGGCTTTATTCACATAAAAGATTTATTTAAGATGCTTGCTGCTGGCCAACCCTTGCAATTAGAGAAAATAATTCGAAAACCTATTATTTCTACTGCTTCCATGAAATTAATAGATTTATTAGCTGAAATGCGTAAGAGTTGTGTGCAAATTTCAATTGTAATCGATGAATACGGTGGAACTGATGGTATTGTGACCATTGAAGATATAATAGAAGAGATAGTAGGGAGAATAGATGATGAGCATAATAAAAAATCTGATAATGATAATTTTAGGGTTGTCACTAAAGATACAATTATCTCAAATGCTAGAGTTAAAGTGGAAGAGTTAGAATTAGCGTTGGGGGTTGAATTAAAAACTCCGGGTGATGAATTCGATACAATAGGGGGACTAGTTTTAGCAAAAATAGGGAATGTACCAGCAATAGGTACAAAAATTAATATAAGCGATCAAGTAGAACTAGAAGTAATAGATGCAAATCCTAGAAGCCTTAAGGAAGTAAAATTAAGATTAAACGATGGATCGATTTTACCTAATTGCCTGCTGTAGATAAGGGTGGTATAAGAGGTAAGATTAGCAATGTGGTAAAATATTAATTAAGATAAATTAGGGGGGTGCTTCTCCTCCCCTAGCAGCTCTAGGCTTCACGCCTCCCTCCTAGCTCCTAATTTATCTTAATTTACTATGCCTTTATTTTAAGTCAGATAGCTTTTTTATTGACCTGGGAAGTAATGGTTATATAATCTACGCTTTCTCTACGGCATCAAGGTTAAATATGATAAAATCACCTCAGCTATTATTATTAAAGCTTTTTATAATATATTCTTTAATTTTTACTTCAACTTATGCAGAAATAGGGGAAAATCTACAAACTTTTTTCTACCTAGGGGGTGAGATTGGTATAATAGAACCAGTAGTAAAAAAATTCCATCATAAAGATTCTAATAGCGACTTTACATTAAAGAAAACAAAAATGTATAATGCTAAAATTGGCTATAGTTATTATCCTCAAATGTCAATTGAATTTTCTGCAACTTATCAGCCCAGTTATCCGTTACATTATGTTTTACCAGAAGTTCCTACTGCATTAGGAACAGCAATACCCAGAACTTCAGGCAGGACCAAAGTAGACTCAAATATATATATGTTAAATCTTAAGTACGACTTAAATAAGGTAAAAGGATTAACCCCCTTTGTAATATTAGGGGGAGGGATAGCGCAAGTAAAAATTAGACCTACTTCCTCTTTTTGGCATGAATTTAATAACATAGAGTATTTTAGGATGATAAGGCACCGAAGTAATTGCCTTGCTTGGCAAATGGGGCTAGGGTTTGCTAAGGAATTAACAAATAATTTTAGTCTCACTGCTGCTGCAAAGTTACAAGTAGCTCATTCTATAAGAATTAAATATGAGAGCCTTGATATTAATAGTAGAAACTTTATAGCGGTTAAACCAATTAAGAAAACTATAGCGGTGGGGGAATTTGGTATAGGCTTTAATTACAAGCTACCTATTTAATGTATACTACTCATCTTGTAAGACGATAAATATAAGTGTACTTATGAGCTAAGAGTGCTAATAATTCCTCTTAAAGTTTGAAGTTCAGTACTCGATAATTTATCTATCCTAGTAAAAATATTCATAATATTTTGAGTCATATGGGGCTTTTTTTCGCGAACCTTAAAGAAGTTTTTATTAGTCAGCTCACTAAATAAATGTTCAAAAAAATACTCTAACTCTCCTCGTGTTGCTAGTTTTTGTTCGTTTATAATATTATTGATCTTGTGCGATTTACTAGCATGAAATAATTCGTAGCATATAACCACTACTGCTTGAGCAACGTTCAATGATCCAAAATCGCCAGTATTTATATTAATAATTTTGTTAGCATAAATAATTTCTTTATTTCGCAAGCCACAGCTTTCTCTTCCAAACATAATCCCTACTTTAAGATCACTAGGATAATCTTGGGGTAAGTTCTTTGAGGAAATATAATGTTTATTCATATTGCGGGCAGTAGAACTAGTGGCATATAGATAATCAATATCTTTTATACCATCTTCTAAATTATTATAAATTTTAGCATTATCAATGATACTAACTGCCGCTACTGCCATACTCCGAGCTTGTTCATTAGGCCATCCATCCCGTGGTGATATAATCCTTAGTTCCAAAATATTAAAATTTTTCATTGCTCTAGCAGTAGCACCGATATTTTCTCCCATTTGAGGAGATACAAGAATTATGATAGGAGAATTATTTTTATTAAGAGTCATAAAATTTAGATAATATTAAATTAATTTCTAGTAGATATAACCATTATAGAATTACTCGATCATTTTAACAAAGTAGAGAGTATTTTTATAATATACAATTTATTCTTTATTTTTTTGAAATAAGTATTTATTGTATCTCCCACAACCTAATATAATAGTAAAATAACTGCAATTATATGAACAGTGCTTACAAATTACCCAGCTTTTTATCACTTACCTTCGTGTTCCTAGGATTAATGATATTTATCATTTTTGAAGGAAAAGCTAGTGCCTCTTTAAAAGACAACGGAATAAACAGACAAAATAATAATATTATCTCGAGTATTGTTCGTTACCCTAATACCACTGCAATAGAAACGAGCGCTAAACAAGTTATAATAATGGATTTTTTGTCAGGCAAGATATTGCTAGAAAAAAATGCTTATGAGCGTATGATTCCTTCTTCAATGACCAAAATAATGACCTCGTATCTAATTGAAGAAAAAATTCAAAAAGGAGAGGTAGCATTTGATACTCAATTTGAGGTTAGTGAAAAAGCATGGAGGATGGGAGGATCAAAAACTTTTATGCCCCTTGGTGAATTGGTCAATTTAAAAGATATTTTATATGGTATAATTATTCAATCAGGCAATGATGCCTGTATTGTAGCGGCTGAAGGTTTAGCAGGAAGTGAAGAGAATTTTGTAGATATTATGAATAAAAAGGCAGCAGAAGTTGGAATGAGATCTACCCATTTTATGAATGCTAGCGGATGGCCTGAGGAAAACCACTATAGTACAGTATATGATATAGCTTTATTGGGACAACTTTTAATTAAGAACCATTCAGAATTCTACCCTATTTATAGTGAGAAATATTTTACTTTTGGCAAAGCTCAGCAAGGGGTTGCAATTACTCAAGGAAATCGCAACCCCTTATTATACAAAGATTTAGGATGTGATGGGATAAAAACCGGTCATACCGATAAGGGAGGATTTGGCTTGGCTGCTTCTTTTGTAGATGATGCTCGGCGTTATATTATGGTGATTAATGGCCTTAGTTCTATGCAAAAAAGAGCAGAAGAATCTTTAGCGCTTTTGCATTGGGTAAAGCAAAATTTTACCACTAAGAAAATTTATAATAAAGGGGCGGAAATTGGAGAAGCCGAGGTTTGGCTAGGAGTGGAGGACAAAGTAAAATTAATAGTAGTTGACGATGTGTCAGCCCTTGTAACTCGCTTAGGACCAAATAAAATAGAAAGTAAAATGAATTTTACCTCTCCTATTCCTGCACCAATAAAAGCGGGGGAGGTGATAGGAAAATTAATAGTAGTTATTAATGATGATACACAAGAAATAGCTTTGCTTGCTAAAGATTCAGTTGAAAAAGTTGGGTTTTTAAAGCAAATATGGTATTATCTCAAGGTAGCTATTAATAAAGCCCTAAATACAATTAAAAGTATAATACCCTGAGACAGTTAGTTATTAGACTTCCTGCATAACACGAACACTCCTTGAAGTCCTCTTCAAAGATTAGGGTAGGTAAAGAAATATTGTATTTAAAAATTATAGAGGATATTATAGTTATATTCATTTGCGCATCTGAGATGTTTTGTCATTTTATCAAGGATTTGCGTGCTCATATGTTACTTCCGTGCACGCACTCCTGGAAAATAAAATCCAATTCTTGAGTTCAAAAGAGCATATAATAAAAATCTACTGATTTAATAAATTGATTTAGGAGAAAAGCATGAGCAATGTTAACAATAAGGTTATAGGATTATTAATGGTTTTACTATTTACCTTTACTTACTTATTAAATTTTTTTAATAACATACCTGAATGTTCGCTAGTATTTGTATTTTTAGCATTAACTGCAAATATTATTACTGAATTACATAATAAAAAAAGCGCTATAATAAGTCTGGTAGTAAGTATAGTAGTGAGCTTTGGGATATTATGGAATTTTGATTATTATCTACACGGGAGAGTTATTCCTATGATGATAGGGACATCCTTCTTATCACTTTTAGCTTCAATATATTGTAGCACAAGCGTTATGCTGTATTTGAAATCGAGTTATTCCTTTAATGTCAGAAATTTTATTAGTTTAGTAGTAGGTGCGGTGATAGATGGTAGTATAATGATAGGATTCTTGGTCAATCACTTTTCTTCTAGTAGGATTATTGCAATATTTTGGGCAGAAGTGTCCTTCAAATGCTTATATTCATTAGCGATATACGGTTTATTATTTCTTGGGTCATATGTTATTAACAGTTACTATATCAAAAATAAAATATAAGAAATTAGGAAACAAAGAGGATATATACTGCTCCTACTGCACGAACCCTCATTTTATTTAGTAGTGGCGAGCACGCGCAACGTATATATACGTTGTACTCTTAGGGGTTTCCTAATTAATTTATATTATAGAATGAATAAAATATATTCTTCATCTACACTAGCTTTAGCTGATTTATTGAATGACGGAATGACTATCATGGCTGGCGGATTTGGTCTATGCGGGATACCAGAAAACTTAATTAATGCTATTTTGCTATCAAAAGTAAAAAATCTGACTGTAATCAGTAATAACTGTGGTATAGATGAATTTGGACTTGGGGTACTATTAAAGGCGCGTCAAATCAAGAAAATGATCTCTTCTTACGTAGGAGAAAACAAAAATTTTGAACAACAATATATTGATGGTTCTTTAGAAGTTGAATTAAATCCCCAAGGAACATTAGCCGAAAGAATTAGAGCAGGAGGCTCAGGTATTCCTGCCTTTTATACTCGGACAGGCGTAGGGACTATAGTAGAAAATGGCAAAGAAGTACGAGAATTTAATGGCAAAAAATATTTGATGGAAACTGCTCTTTATGCAGATTTAGCAATTGTAAAAGGCTGGAAAGCAGACCAAAGTGGGAATGTTATCTATAATAAAACTGCGCGTAATTTTAATCCAATAATGGCCAGTGCTGCTAAGGTTACAGTATGTGAAGTAGAAGAACTAGTCGCAACTGGCACTCTTGACCCTAATAATATTCACACTCCTAATATATTTATCAATAGATTAGTATTAGGAGAAAAATATGAAAAACGTATAGAACGTAGGATCACTAGAAACCTTCACAAAACCTAAGTTGTGGATAAAAAGTTGGGTTTTTAAAGCAAATATGGTATTATCTCAAGGTAGCTATTAATAAAGCCCTAAATACAATTAAAAGTATAATACCCTGAGACAGTTAGTTATTAGACTTCCTGCATAACACGAACACTCCTTGAAGTCCTCTTCAAAGATTAGGGTAGGTAAAGAAATATTGTATTTAAAAATTATAGAGGATATTATAGTTATATTCATTTGCGCATCTGAGATGTTTTGTCATTTTATCAAGGATTTGCGTGCTCATATGTTACTTCCGTGCACGCACTCCTGGAAAATAAAATCCAATTCTTGAGTTCAAAAGAGCATATAATAAAAATCTACTGATTTAATAAATTGATTTAGGAGAAAAGCATGAGCAATGTTAACAATAAGGTTATAGGATTATTAATGGTTTTACTATTTACCTTTACTTACTTATTAAATTTTTTTAATAACATACCTGAATGTTCGCTAGTATTTGTATTTTTAGCATTAACTGCAAATATTATTACTGAATTACATAATAAAAAAAGCGCTATAATAAGTCTGGTAGTAAGTATAGTAGTGAGCTTTGGGATATTATGGAATTTTGATTATTATCTACACGGGAGAGTTATTCCTATGATGATAGGGACATCCTTCTTATCACTTTTAGCTTCAATATATTGTAGCACAAGCGTTATGCTGTATTTGAAATCGAGTTATTCCTTTAATGTCAGAAATTTTATTAGTTTAGTAGTAGGTGCGGTGATAGATGGTAGTATAATGATAGGATTCTTGGTCAATCACTTTTCTTCTAGTAGGATTATTGCAATATTTTGGGCAGAAGTGTCCTTCAAATGCTTATATTCATTAGCGATATACGGTTTATTATTTCTTGGGTCATATGTTATTAACAGTTACTATATCAAAAATAAAATATAAGAAATTAGGAAACAAAGAGGATATATACTGCTCCTACTGCACGAACCCTCATTTTATTTAGTAGTGGCGAGCACGCGCAACGTATATATACGTTGTACTCTTAGGGGTTTCCTAATTAATTTATATTATAGAATGAATAAAATATATTCTTCATCTACACTAGCTTTAGCTGATTTATTGAATGACGGAATGACTATCATGGCTGGCGGATTTGGTCTATGCGGGATACCAGAAAACTTAATTAATGCTATTTTGCTATCAAAAGTAAAAAATCTGACTGTAATCAGTAATAACTGTGGTATAGATGAATTTGGACTTGGGGTACTATTAAAGGCGCGTCAAATCAAGAAAATGATCTCTTCTTACGTAGGAGAAAACAAAAATTTTGAACAACAATATATTGATGGTTCTTTAGAAGTTGAATTAAATCCCCAAGGAACATTAGCCGAAAGAATTAGAGCAGGAGGCTCAGGTATTCCTGCCTTTTATACTCGGACAGGCGTAGGGACTATAGTAGAAAATGGCAAAGAAGTACGAGAATTTAATGGCAAAAAATATTTGATGGAAACTGCTCTTTATGCAGATTTAGCAATTGTAAAAGGCTGGAAAGCAGACCAAAGTGGGAATGTTATCTATAATAAAACTGCGCGTAATTTTAATCCAATAATGGCCAGTGCTGCTAAGGTTACAGTATGTGAAGTAGAAGAACTAGTCGCAACTGGCACTCTTGACCCTAATAATATTCACACTCCTAATATATTTATCAATAGATTAGTATTAGGAGAAAAATATGAAAAACGTATAGAACGTAGGATCACTAGAAACCTTCACAAAACCTAAGTTGTGGATAATATACTCTGCCTAAATGAGTATACCTAAACTATTTTATTGAAACGGTAACCCATTTTACTGAGTTAGAGGAAGTTAAATTAAATATGGCTTGGTCGAAAGAACAAATGTGTCAAATAGCCGCCCAAATGGAACTTAAACGCGGTCTATATGTGAACCTAGGAATCGGGATCCCTACAAATGTGGCAAATTATATTACGCCAGATATGAATATTATCTTACAGAGTGAAAATGGTATGCTTGGTATGGGGCCTTTTCCTTGGGAAGGAGAAGAAGATGCAGACCTAATCAATGCAGGCAAAGAAACTATTACCGCAATTCCCGAAAGTAGCTACTTTGATAGCGCTACATCGTTTGGTATGATTAGAGGGTCGCATATAGATCTCACTATTCTAGGGGCTATGCAAGTAGCGCAAAATGGTGACCTGGCTAATTGGACCGTGCCTGGTAAAATAGTTAAGGGGATGGGAGGTGCTATGGATCTGGTAGCAAATGTTAAACGCGTGGTAGTAATAATGGAACATACTGCAAAGAACGGTAGTGCAAAGTTATTAAAACGATGTACTCTACCATTAACAGGTATTAATGTAGTCAATAGAGTAATAACAGACCTAGGGGTATTTGATATAATTGACAATATGGGGTATTTAATCAAAAAACCTGAAGATGTGAATATAGAAGAAATCAGGGCTAAAACCTTGGCAGAATTCACAGTATCATTATAATTTAATATTAAAAATTAGTAAATTTATGCAAAAATATTTTCACCAAATTATGGGTATAGTAATTTTCCTATGCTTCCTTAATAATAACGCTATTGCTGTCCATATAGATTATCCTTTAACAGAGGAAGAAAGAAAACTTCAGGAAATGGGTTCCTTAGCTGGCGGAGAAGGATTAACTTTTAGACCTAGTAAAATAAAAAATAACTCAACTAAGTCTAAGGATTATCAAATTAATAAATATTTATGGCAAGCATCAGTAGAAGTATTGAATTTTATTCCTATGGCTTCTGCTGATTTAAATGGCGGCCTCATTATTACTGAATGGTACAGCCCTAAGGAAAATAAAGATTTTAGATTTAAAATAAATATTATTATTAAAAATAATATAATTAGCCCTGATTCAATTGAGGTTAGGGTATTTGAACAAACATTTAAAAAAGGTAATTGGATAGATCATCATAGTACTTCCAATTTAGCTCTCAGTATCGAAGATAAAATTCTAAGAAAAGCACGAGAATTATATATTAGTACTGAAGGAAAATGATGGTCTATTAATTTAAGTCAATTAAAGTTTAAAATTTTATTTTGAAAGTTATGAAAGATATTGAAAAGAAGTGGCAGAAAATTTGACACGAAGAAAAAGCTTTCGCAGCACTAAATGATAGTAATAAACCTAAATATTATGTCCTTGAAATGTTGCCTTACCCTTCTGGCAAAATTCACGTTGGGCATTTACGGAATTACTCTATAGGGGATTGTAATGCGCGCTTTATGAAAGCTCAAGGTTATAATGTGGTCCACCCTATGGGCTGGGATGCTTTTGGATTACCCGCGGAAAATGCCGCTATTAATAATAATTCTCACCCTAAAGAATGGACCTATAACAATATTGATACTATGAGAAATCAATTACAATCAATTGGTTTTTCCTATGACTGGTCCCGGGAGGTCACTACTTGTGACCCCGGATATTATCAACATGAACAAAAATTCTTTTTAGAATTGTATGCAAGAGGCTTAACCTATCAAAAAGAATCCTTAGTTAATTGGGATCCTGTAGATCAAACTGTTCTAGCTAATGAGCAAGTAATTGATGGACGCGGATGGCGTTCTGGTGCTTTAATTGAAAAACGGTATTTAAAACAATGGTTTCTAAAAATTACTAACTACGCTGAAGAATTATTAAATGAAATTCCAAAACTGATCCATTGGCCTGATTCTGTTAAAACTATGCAAGAAAAGTGGATAGGTAAATCTGAGGGTAGCAACTTTAATTGGGTCATCAAAGGTAGTAGCCATGTTATTGAAGTATTTTCAACAAGGCCAGAAACAGTATTTGGGGCCAGTTTTATAGCCATAGCTTATAACCACCCTATAATTGATCAATTAGTAGATAAAAATGATAAGATTCTCTCTTTCATCCAACACTGTACTAATTTACATACTAGTTTAGCAGTAGAAAAAGCTGAAAAAGAGGGGGTTTTTACTAATCTCTCTGTTATTCATCCCTTTGACCCCAGTATCACACTACCTGTTATTATCACCAATTTTGTCCTTATGGATTATGGGACAGGCGCTATTTTTGGTTGTCCTGCCCATGATGAAAGAGATTATGAATTAGCTATTAAACTGCAATTACCAATCACAACAGTAGTACTTCCTAATGACATTCATTTAAGAATAGGCCTGAATAAGTGTAATCCTTCTTTTTTACCTTATACCGGTGATGGCACAATAATTAATTCAGATTTTCTGAATAATCTAGATCTGCGCGAGGCTAGAACAAAAGTAATCAAAGAATTTGAAGATCGTGGCATAGGCAAGCGTATTACTAATTATCGATTGAAAGATTGGGGGGTCTCAAGACAAAGATTTATTCCAATAATATATTGCTTAATTTGTGGTATTGTGCCTGTATCAGCAGCTCATTTACCAGTCACTCTACCAGAGGATATTAAATTTGGTGGTCAGGGTAATCCTCTTGATCTACACCCTACTTGGAAACATACTACTTGTCCTAAATGTCAAAAAGCAGCTACCCGGGAAACTGACACATTTGATACTTTTTTTGAATCTTCCTGGTATTTTACCCGCTATTGTGACAATTCTGCTCATAACATAACTAATAAAAATTCTTGTGATTATTGGTTACCCGTAGATCAATATATTGGAGGGGTTGAGCATGCAGTAATGCATCTTCTATATGCAAGGTTCTTTACTAAAATCATGCAGGAACAAGGGTATCTTAGTGTACGTGAACCATTTACTCGTTTATTAACTCAAGGTATGGTCCTCCACGCTACTTATAGGGATGCTGAAAATAACTGGTTTTATCCAGAAAATAGAAAAGTATTCAGATAAGTTGGTTAATAAAAAAACCGGCCAGAAAGTATTTCAAGGCCGCGTAGAAAAAATGAGTAAATCTAAAAAGAATGTAGTAGATTTAGAAACAATATTAGCAAACCACTCTGCCGACTCGGTCAGATTATTTGTCTTATCAGATAGTCCTCCCGAAAAGGATTTTGAATGGTCTGCTACTGGGCTTGAAGGGTGCACACGCTTTTTGAATAAACTTGCTGCTATGGCAGAAATGCTACTTCATCAGGAGAGTCACTCGAGTTTTTTACCAGAAATTAAGCCAAGTAAATTACTAAAGCTTACTCACGCTACTGTCAAATATGTGACTGAGGAAATTAAGCAGTTTAAATTAAACAAAGCTATCGCAAGACTACGCGAATTATTTAATGCGTTATCAGAGGAATTCTCTAAAGAAGAAAAAGCAGATATTAACAGTGTTAAAGAAGGGTTTGTTATCTTAATTCGACTATTCAATCCATTTATTCCGCATATCACTGAGGAAATTTGGCAACAATTAGGTAATAGAGAAAGATTATATCAAACAGCTTGGCCATCATTTAACGAGATATTTCTAGAAGAAGAATCTTATACAATGGCTATCCAAATCAATGGTAAATTAAGGGCTACTCATGAATTCCATAATTTAACTACTGAAGAAGAAATTAAGAATATTACATTCCAGCTAGAGGGATTAAAAAAATATCTAGATAATAGCGAACCAAAGAATATCATTATCATTCCCAGAAAAATAGTAAATATAGTAGTTTAAGCAATTATTAATTAAAGATTAATAATTTAAGAAAAAGTTTAAGATATTGCTTGCATAATACCTTTTACTTTATTATAATGCCTTAAGAGATATTAACTAATAACGAGGCTTAAGATGTTTGGATTACGAAGTCTACTACCAATAATGGGTAAAAAGTTGCCAGCTCCTGAAAGTGGATGGGCTGCAAAGTCGTTACCTTCAAAAATATTGTGGTCTACACTAAAACCGGCCACTTCAGCAATATGGTGGGGTGCCCTGCCAATAACTTCTAAAATTTCCTATACTGCAACACCAATAACTTATAAAAGCAAATTAGAAGATCACAAATTTTATGATCATTGTTATAAGTTTTTAACTGGAACTTCTGCGCTTTTAGGGCTTAGTAGTAGTGTAACTGGTTGGGTATTTGGCCCAATAAATCAAGTGATTGGTATCGCTACCGCTGGGGTGGGTTTTTTTACTGGAGTTAAGGGAATATATGAGAATAATCAAAAACTTAAATTTTATTCTGATATGCATAACACAACAGTAGAAAAAGTGTATTTTGCTGTCTCAAATATTAAAGATTTTACATATTTTACTATCACTAATCCGCAAGGCTTTGACTGTCTAGCAGATAAAAAATATATTCAAGGTACATCTCCTAAATTTGTATCAAATATCCTGACTTTTTTACCTCAACTATTTCCAGATGGAAAAGGTAATTTTAATGAAGGAATGAAGATTATTGAAGAAGATCATAGGCAAGCGATGTTAAGTAAACGTGGTAATATGAGTGACTCTAATTATTATAGTCAAGACATGTGTTCTTCTATTGTGGTACCTAGCTTAAGTCAAACTGTACGTAATAAATTAGAAGAAGAATTTTCTCCTGCACTTGTTGAGGCAGCTCAAAAATTTACAGATACAGATAGCTACATTGAAAACAACTTAGAAAATTACAAAAATAGTATAAAGGATAAGTGGCTTTATAAGTTTTATTCTAAAGAGGATGCTATTACGAATAAAGTGGAAGAATTAAAAGCACAAGCTACTCAACTTCAAGATATAAAAAATAGAGGTGCAGAAATATTGCGAGAGTATAGTAATAATCATACTCAAGAAGATTACAATAATAATCCTGAAAACAGCGATACTGATGTACATTATCCAAGCAGTGGCCATGATCACCATAATACCAACAGCATCATATATCATGAATATCATGAAGTAGAACCGGCAGGAGAAGTATGGCATACGCTAGAGCATGGAGAAGCCGGCGCGGCGGCAGGATGATACTTATTTAGGGTTTGATAAACCTTTCTTCTTCCAAATTACCAGTAATTATGGGGTTTGGGAGAAGCAATTCCATTAAAACTTTAAACACTAAATGACTTTCCACAACCACAACTACCTTTTTCATTCGGATTAGTAAAAGCAAATCCAGTCTTAAATTTATCTTCTACATAATCCATTATACTTCCTATAAGATACATTAAGGCTTTTGGGTCAATTAGTATTTTGACATTTTGAACTTCTACTACTTCATCAAATTTATTCTTCTCATCAGCGTATTCTATGTAATATTCTATACCAGAACAGCCCTTAGCTATTTCGGTATTTTTTATAGAGCCTGCTTCATCAATAGATTTACCCTTCACCCATTCAGTTACTAAAGAACTAGAAGCGATTGCTGAACCGCATCCAAAGGTTTTAAATTTAGCATCAGTAATAATCCCCTCTTTGCTAACCTTAATTTGTAGCTTCATCACATCTCCACATGCAGGTGCTCCTACAAGTCCTGTGCCCACAAAGGGATCTCCTTTATCTAAGGCGCCCACGTTGCGTGGATTCTCATAATGATCCATTAATTTTTCGTGATATGGCATTTTGCTCTCCTTAATTATATTTTTTGTATTTTCCGCCAATTTAGTGAGTAGCCCACTTGATCTGCTTCAAATCTATTCCTTCTTGCACCATTTCCCAGAGAGGGCTTAAATCCCGTAAGTTATTAATCTTAGAGGTAATTAATTTTACAGCATAATCTATTTCTTCATGAGTAGTAAATCTTCCTATACCAAACCTAATAGAAGTATGTGCTAATTCTTCATCTACTCCCATTGACCTTAATACATATGAGGGCTCAAGTGAAGAGGAAGTACACGCAGAACCCGAGGATACTGCCAAATCCTTAATGGCTAAAATCAAGGATTCGCCTTCGACATAAGCAAAACTTAAGTTTAAATTTCCTTTATACCTAGCGTCCTTATCACCGTTTAAATAAATTTCTGATATTTCTTTAGTAATATTTTCATAAAATCTATTAAAAAGTTCTTCTACATGCTTAATATCTTTTTCCATTTCTACTAAAGCTATCTCCGCTGCTACTCCTAACCCAACAATTAAAGGAGTAGGTAAAGTACCAGAACGCATTCCCCTTTCTTGTCCTCCTCCATTAAAAATTGGCACTAATCGTACTCTTGGTTTCTTTCTCACATATAAAGCTCCTATCCCTTTAGGGCCATAAATTTTATGAGCTGAAATACTGGCTAAATCTATATTACATTCATTAACATCAATTGGAATCTTGCCATATCCTTGGGCAATATCTGAATGAAAAAAGATACCTCGTTCCCGGCAGATTTTACCTATCTCTTTAAGTGGCTGAATGACCCCTGTTTCATTATTAACAGCCATAATAGACACTAACATAGTGTTATCATGTACCGCATCCTTGAATGTTTCTAAATTAATTAACCCATTAGCTTGAATTGGCAAATATGTTACCTCAAAACCTTCGTCTTCCAGATGCCTGCACGCATCTAAAACACACTTATGTTCACTGACCGCAGTTATGATATGTTTCTTTTTACTACCATAAAACCGGGCTATTCCCTTAATTGCTAGATTATTTGCTTCAGTTGCTCCAGAAGTAAAAATAATCTCTTTAGGTTCTGCATTAATAAGCTTTGCCACTTGACCCCTAGCAACTTCTACCGCTTCTTCAGCTTCCCACCCAAAGAGTGGCTCCTAGAATGTGGATTTCCGAATTTACTGATAAAATAAGGTAACATCGACTCTAGCACTCTAGGGTCAAGAGGAGTCGTGGATTGATAATCCATATAGATTGGCAACGTTTTACCGGATGCTTTTATTTTCTCTTTTAATTGTTCTAGCTCATTCATTGTCAATTACTCTTAATAGCGAGAATATATTTCTTCAAATGCGTTAATAAAAGTTATTACATCCTGACAGGTTTGCTCATGACTAAAGCTAATTCTGAGCGAAGATTTAGCTTCCATATCACTAAACCCCATGGCAGATAATACATGAGATTTATCTACTCTCCCTGCAGAACAAGCGGATCCTATACTCACAGCTATTCCCCGCAAATCTAATGATATTAATTTGGTGTGGACTTCACCGCCAGCAATTACCATGAGAGTAGTATTAGGTAATCGCTCAGCATTTTTTGAGGCGATAGTAATGTTAGGATATGTTAGCAAATTGAGCTCCAAATAATCCTGCAGTTTTTTCATGCTTTGATATCTTTGCTTCACTTCTAGCGCCGCTATTTCACTAGCTAAACCAAAAGAGGCAATTGCTAATACGTTTTCGGTACCAGCTCTAATATTTTTTTCCTGGCCCCCTCCTACTATTAGAGCTTTGAGTAGGTAGTTTTGCTTGGTAACTAAAACGCTACTTCCTTGCATTCCTCCCAATTTATGAGAAGAAATAGTAGCGAAATCTAGTCCTAATTCTTTAATATTAACAGCTATTTTACCAACTGCTTGTACACAATCACTGTGAAACGCAGCGCCATATTTTTTTGCAAGCTTTACTAGTTCCTTGATGTTTTGTATAACTCCAGTTTCATTATTTGCTAGTATGATAGACACAAGTTTTTTATTACTGTTACTTGCGGATAATAATTTTGCCAAATGCTGAATATCAACAATACCTTCGCTATTAACGTTAATAATTTTAAGATTATCTCGATATTTAGTATGAGCAAAAATGGATAAATGTTCTATGCTAGAGATAAAAATTTCTCCATCCATATAACTATTGATCAATAAATTATTGAGGGCGGTCGAAACTTTCATGTTATACCTAATCCAGAAAAGCTAGAGAGTCTACAGGGGCTACAACTGCATTACGTGTCTACATGTACACGCCAGTCTGCAGCTATACTGGTAGTTATATACTACTGTACTTTGTCTTCTTTACCTGGAGTTCTTCTATCCTTCCTAGCTCTCCTAGCTCTTCTATCCTTCCTAGCTCCCCTAGCTCTTCTATCCTTCCTAGCTCCTCCATCCTTCCTAGCTCCTCTAGCTCTTCTATCCTTCCTAGCTCTTCCATCCTTCCTAGCTCCTCTAGCTCTTCCATCCTTCCTAGCTCCTCTAGCTCTTCTATCCTTCATAACTCCTCTAGCTCTTCCATCCTCCATAGCTCCACTAGCTCTTCCATCCTTCCTAGCTGCTCTAGCTCTTCTGTCCTTCATACCTCCTCTAGCTCTTCCATCCTTCCTAGCTCCTCTAGCTCTTCTGTCCTTCATACCTCCTCTAGCTCTTCCATCCTTCCTAGCTCCTCCAG